TCCCGGAGAGACCAGTCCACTCCCATCTCTAGAGCCTCTTCCAAATCCCTGCAATTATCAAACACCTACTTAAGATGGTAATCCATGGATATACTCAAAACTCCACTGGATACAGCCCTGAGCAACCTGACGTAACTTTGCTGTCAGACCCACCTTCAGAGTTAGCCCTCCTTCATGTGAGGAAGGACGAGACAACCTCAAGAGATCCCATCCAACCTAAATTATGCTATGATGTTATGATCAGCCCCCAGCTCTCCTAACAACAAGTTCAACTTTTTAGTACTTCATGAAAATCAAGCTCTACAAATATATTAACTTTTGATAAGTCATTAATTTCTCCTCTTTGTTGTGTGAAGAATATCTTATTTTCTCTCTCATCCCTTTCAAAAAAATACTTCTATGCTCATGGGAAGTTTTCTGTCAGAATAAGCAAGAACCTTTCAAGAACTTCTAGTTATTTAAGGGGTTTAAATGGGGGAAGAGCAAGCTGACTTTGTGCACCGATGATTACGTCAGCCCTGATAAAGCCATATGCAGGAAAAATTGAAAGAGTTTTAGAATTGGTCTTTCTTAAAAGTCTCCCACTGATGAACAAACTCAAAATAAACAGACAGATGTCCCCTCTAGTGATGTGTGTACAAAATCATTCTCTTACTTGGCATTCATGGGGATGACACCTTTGGAGCCGACACCAACAGGAATGTGGTCAAACATAGCCTGGGCAAGCTGCTCTTTCACAGGCTGCACATCACTTTCATCCAAATTTGTACGCAGCAAGCGGACACCACAGTTGATGTCAAATCCTACACCACCTAGAAGTGCAGAAAAAGCCATGACAGGGAGCATGTACTGAATAATGTGATCTCACACCTTCTTTCTGACACAGTATTGGAAAAAAAAGGCAGAACTGCATTAGGCTTCATTTTAACAGACTTACACAAAGCCTCAGATTTCAAGACAGAGCTGTACAAGTATCTGCACAGCCCTCTGTTTACAAAGTTACTCCAAAAAGTAGACAAAAAGTAGACACAACTATAAAATACGCTGCCCAGAGAAAGTAGAAAGGGATATCACACGAGTCCAAGCCTCAAATGCAAGAGCAATTCTCCCTGTACTGTTCAGACATTCTCAGTGTAACCACCTGCTCCATAAAAAATAAAGATTCTGAGTGCAAGAATTAAGCGCCTCTTAAGCCCCTGTAATGCTCATATTTTTGCTTTAGTTCTGTATATAAAGTCCTGCAAAGTCCTGCCATTTTGAAAAAGTATTTTTATGCCATCCCCAATATTCTTCAGAGCAGGTTAAGCCAGCCATCCTTACCTGGTGAAACCACTGCTTCTGGATCACTCATATCAAAGGCAGCCATGTTGCCAATGGCAAACCCATAGCCAGAATGGACATCTGGAAGGCCTATTGATCTCTGAAAGGGAATGAAGGCAATTCTGAAGTTTTATGAAACACAGTGCTGCAGAGTTACCTTGGTTATGCCTTGCCTTGTGGCAGGAGCTGTCACATTTGAAAACAAATATACCAAGAAGAGAACGGATCTTCAGATTAGATGGAGTGAACACAACTCAGGTGGGTGTCTGAACTCCTGCACTTACAGGGCTGGCCCTCGAAGAAAGCAGAGAGCAGATCTCACTCTGAAGCAAACACCCTGTGGCCAGCCAGCTGAGAAGCCCTTTTGACTCAAATGGCCAGATCTCAAACAAATTTGGGAAGAGCTTAAGCACCTAAAAGTAGGAACTGTGATCTCAAACTGAATTCTAATCTGGCCTTTTCTTGTACTCAAAAGTCCTTGCATTCAAAACTCAGGAAGGCAATAGCTTATGAGCAGCATAAAGCAGAGACAGAAGAGTGAAGATGAGTTAATTTTTACCAAGTTTCATCCAGAGAAATCTGCAATATTTAAATACTGAAAACATAACAAGGGAAGAGTTCAATGCTATGAAATAAATAAAATAGTCGGTATTTTCTCTCCTTATCCGTGTCATCAACCCTGACCAAGGACTGCACCCTGTAGGGAGGAAAAGTCACCTTTTGATTGAGATCCTGATGGGACGGGACAAGATAGGAGCTGTGGCACTTTAAATTTAGACTGGGACACCACAAACAGCATTCTGCAGTCTATTTAAGCAAACAAAAAAAGCCTCAGACACCCAGAAAGCTGTCAGAAATTGTAACTTTTCAATGCGTGTTAAACTGCTACCATACATTAAAAAGAACAGTACTTTTCAGTGGGATGTGTGCTTCTTCTGCCTCTCCTTGCCATCACCAGTAAATCTCTTGGCTTGAAATAAAAAGTGAAGATTTGAATAGGCAGATGATTTCAGCATCTCTCCTACAAACTACCAGCCAGAGTTCCCAGGTTGTTACTAGTCTACTTTACTCCCTTTTTGGCTGACCACTAAGGCATTTTAACAGCATGATGGTCTGCCCTTTACTGCAGCCATAAATTCAAAACTTCTGCCAAGTCACCAAGGAAGACAATTAAAAACAATCCGTTATTTGTTACTTATTAATATATGCAATATTGAATGTGAAAGAGATAATTTCTACATCATACCTAACACTTCTTTAAAAGAGTCACAGGTTAGTATTTTCCCCCTGCGTTATCAGATCTGACACTTTGCTTCCAAAAAGGCATGGTGAAAGGAGTGTTGAGTGCATGGGAGGACTCTCTACCCACATTAGGTCAGCAACAATAATACAAACAGCACCACCTCCTGCTCTCTTCTCACTCCTTCATGCATTCCAGGTCAGCACAGGCAATTCAAAACGAACAAGCAGTCAATATGTACACTGAGGGAAAAGTGGCTCAAGCAAAAAGAAACAGCATAAAGCAATGCTAAAAAAAGCTTCATGTCAAAAGACAAGTCATGAAGTAAGTGGATGCTTCCCTTTCTGACAACTTAGTCTTGCAGCCCGCCCTTGCAAGCACTGCTTACTCAGAGACAGGTTCTTAATGCACAAACTGTCTTTAAAAGAACTTTGGTCCACATATCTTCTCACTACAAAGTTCCCACTTGGAAAGCAGTAATTTTAGGCAAATAAGAAGAGAAAAAGAACAAATTTTCAGAGCAGTTACTCACGTGAACAATCCCAGGTAATGCAGCCACATTCCCAATCTGTTTCATAGCAGGCAAGAAGCCACCTGCACCTGAGAAAGAGAAAAAAAAGAAAAAAAGTAAAACAATCTTATAACTTACCATGATAATCACAGTGAAGCGCTTTCTAAACAGGTCGTTCAAAACACTGGCAATTTAGAGGTCAGCCACCAACAAGGCTTCTGATCTGGTGTAGAGTACCCAGCGACATGCACAGTCTGTAGTTTCATTAAATGAGGTACTTATTACACCAAAGCGCAACCTGTGCTGTGTTTGTACCGATGGAGTGCAGTCTGCCCTAACAACAGCAGCGTCACCACCACCCAGCTGTCAGATCTGGACCCAGCCCTGCACTTCAGCCCCACACAGCACAGCCCTGGGCTGAAGTGCCATGGCCTAGTGGGCATCGTGGCCCTGGGTCATAGGCTGGGCTGGATGATCCCGGAGGTTTTTTCCAACCTAACTGATTCTGTGGGCTCTGTGACACCCTCCCGGGTTTAGGGCGCCGTGCTGGACCCACCTCCTCCGCGGCAGGCATTGCGCAGCTCCTCGAACATCAGCTTCTCCAGCGGGTCGTTCACGTAGAAAACACCCTCCACCTGCGGGGAGAGCCGTCAGACGCCGGGCCGCCCCTGCCCTGCTCCCCTGCCCCTGCCCCGGGTACCCAGCCCCCTCCCACGCACACGCATGTTGGGCACGAAGCCCTTCTTGATCCGCCAGCAGTTCTTGTCGATCTTGTCCAGGTACTGCAGCTCATCGTTGTAGCTGCGGCTCATGGCTGCGGATCCCCAGGGCGGCACCGGCGCGGCGGCAGGAACTGACGCGGCCCCGCCGCCTCAGCCGCGGCGGCAGCGGCGAACAGGAGCCGCCGAGGCTCAAACCTCCTCCATCAACCCTCCCTGCCTCCCTCCCTGAGCCCTGCCTCCCTGAGCCCTGCCTCCCTCCCGAGGGCTGGCCCGGCCCCCAGTCAAGCTCCGTGCCCGGGCTATCTGGCAGGGGCCTGGAGAAGTCCGGCACCGGTTCCCGCGGGCCGGGCTGTGAGAGGGAGCGCAGGGGGTCGGGTTTGTACCTGGCCGCCTCCTCTCGCACACCAGATACGGCTTTTGGGCTGGTTTGCGGGGAAACAAACAAACCAACCAACCAAACCAAAACAAAAACCCCAAAACAAAAAACCCAAACAAACCCCCACAAACAAACAAACAACCCCCACAAAACAAACAAACAAACAAACAAACAAACCAAAAACCCAAAACAAAACAAAAAACCCCCCAAACAAACAAAAAACCCCAACCAACCAAAAGCAAACAGCAACAACAAAAAAATACCCGCAAATGTGTTTGTTTTTGTTTGTTTGTTTGTTTGTTTTTTCCTCGTAGCTGTTCCCCCTGGGCAGAGCAGTTTCGGCCCGTGGGTATTTAGGTACCGCTCTGCTGCAGATGGGATGAGTTTGCTCAGCATCAGTCAGGCGAAAGCTGCCCGCGCCCCATCGTCGATCGCGTTTCTCAGCATGAGGGAAAGACCTGTTTGCTGCTCAGTCTTGGCTTGAAAAGGGCTCTGTTCCTCCGGGGTGGGGAGGGCTAGGATCTGGGTGCCCTGCCAGGTGGATGGAGCTTTGTGCAGGGGTGGTTTGGAGCTCAAAAAAGCAGCAGATAAGAGCGGGATGGGGCACCCCTGCCTTTGTTTCTTCCTTGTCAGTGCTGGTTTGAGAGACCAGAGACAACTTCTCATTCGGGTTTGGCCAAAGCACAAACACCTAGGCATTGCAGGACAGGCATGTCCCTCTGTAGAGCTCTGTTCAGATTTGGACACTAATCAAGTATTGGAAAAAAAGGAGGAAGAAAAAGGGCATAGGATAACATACCAAAATGAAGTAAGAAAAAAAGTACTTGTAACTATTTCAATCCAGAGAAATATTGACAGATGCTGGAGAATTAGACTTAGGACTTACCTAGAAACATTGGAAGAATTAAGTATATCTAACCTGGCTATGCAGCACTAAAGTGGGGGTGTGACAGGCACAAGGATTTGAAGAGTCACAGAGAGAGAGGGACTATCAAAGGCAGTAGTAGTGCTACTTCATCTTTCTTCCTGAACTGCTTCTGCATCTTAAGATTGCAGTTAAGAAACTGCAAAGATTTTAGTTCTTGTTGTAATTGGGACAGTTCCCAGTATGATAATTCCATGGTTGTGGAGAGGGCTCACTCTATATTTCATGCATCAGGAACAGAAGGGATGTGTTTAAGATCGTTACCATAAAAACAGATTAGCAGTCGTATCTGCCTTAGCAGTATTTTGACAATGTACTTTTCCTTCTTTTAAGAGACTGCAGCACTTTTCTGTGTGTAGACAAAACTGTATTTCAAGAGAGTCATGAATCTTAAAAACATTTTTACATCAATTAAACACCAGAATAAATAACGTCAAGCATGTGTCCCATGTTCTCCCTTGGCTGTGTTTGCTACCACCATTATACCAGCAAACCATTCCATCAGCTTTTTTTGCTTCCCTCCTTGCCCCCAACCAGGATGACATTGCCCTTGTCAGAGCTCAAGTTACACATTTCAGCAGAAGTGGACATTGTTTAGTCTTCAGAGTCACATTATTGACTTGATTTGAAGTTCATGCTTAACAAATGGTCTCTCTTGTCCTTTAGTGTTTGTAGTGGACATCAGTCGAAATCAATATGTATCCCTGTGGGGAGAAGAACAGTCACTGACATGCTGTGAATTAAAAATGAAAGTGTTACTTTGTATGGTTGATTTTTTTTTTTGTTCATTTGTTTGTTTGTTTGTTTGTTTAATTTCAAATCTGTCTTGGTGATTAACGTCAGAAAATCCACTGAGAACAGCTGAGCCTTGGAAGTCACAAGTTTTATTAAACTCTGTCCTTTGCAAAAATTTGCAAAAGGGCCCTATCTTTCCCTGGGTGCTATCCCTTTGCACCATGCTAGCAACAGAAGGGACATCTAAAGACCATACAGCCTATCCAGGAAAGTTCATCTGAGCCTTGAGACAACTGGGCAACCATCACAAGGTGGGATTATTTTTAGCCTAATCTGAGCTGCTTAAGAATTAGCCATTTAATCTAAACTTGTCCTTAAAGCTTCATCCATTGTCGATGCATACAGAGCAATGAACCGGCAGAGAGCAGATCATCACAGCTATAAAATCACAGAATGGTTTGGGTTGGAAAGGACCTAAAAGATCTTCTAGTTCCAACCCCTTTACCATGGGCAGGGACACCTTTCACTAGACCAGGTTGCTAAAACCCCCATCCAGTCTATCTATGAAAAGTGGGAAGAATTGTCTTTCTTCCTATAGACTGTAGCAAATAGACTGGGATTGGACGTGGAAGCTTCTAGAACTAGCTCTAAAATAGGAATCCCATTCACACTGGTAGAGCATAGCAATTCTCCTGTGTCCTCTCTCATTCCTAGTTACTGATAAGGAGTCTGCTTAGAGAAAGTAAGGTGGGGAATAGGCACTACAAAACCACTAAAATCTTTCATTCTTAATTAGCCCATAAGACTGCTGGCAAGGAGAGACATTGAAAGCAGTCTCCAAGCAATTACATTTTTTAGGGAATGGCGTAGCTGGCTGCTACCAGATATGGGATGAAAAGAAAAATTAAAGACAAATTTTGCATTTCCTTTCCTGAGTTGTGTTTTGTGCTTAACCACAAACAAAGACTTAAGACTGTCTCTGCTAAGCTGAAAATAACTTTGAGAAGTTGGTAAACAAGTGGAGAAATATAACAGGCTTATCTATTTTCTGGGCATTCAGTTGTCAGCAATGCCCTTGTACTAAATGATTGTCTAGCAACTTTCTGTTTGCTCAGATTAAGGGCTAGAATTGGAGAAAGGCAACCAGAAGGCAGTTATTTTCGGAGAGCTCACTAACTAGTTTTGGCTAGTAGGCTCAGTCTTTATCACCGATCATTAACAAAATGCAGTCATCCTAGGTGCACAGAATGGAATTCACCTCACTCTCTATTTCAACTATTCAACGGGACTGTGTGGATAGCAATAACTCTAATTCAATGTGATCGGCCAAACTTGAACAATATGTTAAACCTGTTTTTACACTGAACTGCAACTTGCAAGGCTGAACAAGTTGTGAATTTGATCGCTCCATGGTTATATATTCAGTTCTAACTTTTCCTCTCAAATAAAGATAAATTTGTTTCTAATAGAATTCTACCATTATTACAGATCTCACTTTAAACCCAGGGCTTTTTACTACTTAAGTACCTCAAATGCAGCAAAGGTCTGGTACAAAAAGGTGAATAAATGCCTAGCCAAAAAAAAAAAGGGTGAAAAAAAGAAAAAAAAAAAGGAGATAACCTTTCATAAGGCAAAATCTTTCCTAAGTGCCAAAATCTCACCTGTGCAATTGTTATGTGAGGTCTTGTCAAGGTAACATTGGCCAGATTGGGAAGAGGGAATCCTTTTGACAGTTTAGCTTAAAAAAAAAAAAAAAAAAAAAAGAAGAGACAAGCAGTGATTTAGTTGTGCATTAGAAAGCTAATGAACACCTGCCCTGCAAAAACAGTGTATATCCAGAGACTTGGTCATTTACAACAACTAACCTCTTAGTCTTTACAAGCAGCTCTGGGAGGTAGATAAGATGTTCATTTACCAGTGGGGAAAAAGAATTACAGGTGCTTCTCTCTTGGCAGAGTGTTGCAGCCAAACCAAGGCATTTCATGTTCAGCACATTACATACTCAGTGACTCATCCCTAACGATCCCTGAGGGATCATTAATACAGCTCCAGCATCATTAGGACCTGTTTGTATACATTAACTAAGGAAGGTGATGTTCATCCCAGTACAGAAGGCTGGCACAAAGCTATGTCTCCCTCCAGAGCCTGAAATAAGATTTATGAGAGGCAGAAGCTCTGTGCTGGTCTAATAAAGGGGAATACATTTCACACATGGTAGCCTCAGGCAGGTGAGCAGATGAGAGAGACATGCTTCTCCCTGATGCATCAGAGCCAGCTTGACTGAGATGAAGGCAGATGAATTATGAGTTCCCAAGTAATTTCTACCCTTTTTGCAGAATAGTGCCCGTGAGAGGGCGCACTTACACCTCTGCAGATCAATTTCCCCCCTTCCACTGCTTACTGGCTGACGGTCATTTTCCTCTCTAATGAGAACTGGAAACTTAAGCAGAAAGTCCGTAGGAGTTCCTAGAATCACCCACTCTGCTGGAAGCTGTTTAACTGCTGCTTTAAAATACATCCTTACCATTAGCTGATGGAATTACTTCAGTCTGTAAAATGTAAGACAGGATATTCTCCAGAAGTGAGATCTGCCACAGACAAGAAAACTGAATTAGCCATGCTTCCTGATGATAGTAGAACTGTCGTGCCCTAATCCTGGGTGGAGTTGGTAGACTCATGTTCAAGTTTCAGCTCTTTTGACCATAAAGAGTCATAAACTCAAGTGAACTTGGATCTAAAGGCTTTGGAATGATGCAAAGGAAGTGAGATGCAAAATGCAAATGGATCTCAACATCCTTAGCCAACATTTTCATTTAAAACAGTCTATTTCCTTTATTTGTGAGATAATTTATCACCAATAGCAAAGCAGGACCAGAACAGTTTTAATCCTTTCTCCTCAGCCACTCGGAACTGATTGATAATACTGAGAATGAAATGACTCTCTGCGGAGGCAGGGTTTTCCCCTGCCAGACTACAACTGCATTATTTCAGGCATCTGAGATAAGCATCTTGGCTCCCCCTCCCTATTGTAATTCCGAGCATCTGTGATGAGCACCACTGCAGCACGTGGAGGGCCTGTGCCTCAGCCATCCATGTGACCATTAGGTGGCACACTGCTCTGCTGCCAAAGCTTAGATCACCGCTCTGTGTTTCACCGTGGTGATTCGAGAGATCTCCGCTTACTGCAGTTTGAGGAACTACAGAATATCTCATTTGCAGAGCACTAACTCGCCCCAAAGAATATACTTTTAAGTCCACGGCAGAGAGGTGGCTGCCAGAAGACAGGAAAAGTGCCGTCTGAGAATGAAGGGAAATAATTTAGAAATACAGATAAAAATGTAGGTGCTTACTCTTTAGCCTTCATATGACCCATATGCTTGTTTTACATTTCCTATAAGCTTCAACTATCCACTTACCTCGAAAAAACCAACATTGGAGTGGGCTAGGGAGAACTGGAGCCTGAGGGAGAGAAGTGAAGCAAGAGGAGTCACTAAGAAAGGATAAACACAGTTATTCTATTCATGTGCAGTCATTGCTGTAGAGCTCCGGGCCTTAAAAGCATCTGCAAAGAGATTTTTGAAGCAATTTCACACAATGCATACTGCCCCATAGAGAAAGACGTGATCTTCTTAGGGCATCGCTGAGCATCCATGCAAAAGTGTGCTAGAAGGGCTGTAGCCAGCAATGTGAGTGTGCTTCTCCCTCTGTGCTGTGTTTTGGAAATCCTACTGACAATTGATTTAACCAAGGATTTCCAGGCTGTCAGGTATTTTGCAAGGATTTTGGTACATCTGCATAATGTTTTGATGTGAGTCTTACCAGGGTGGGGAGAAAAAAATCTGTTCATCGTATGGTACTGATGCTGCTGGCTTTGTTGCTAAACGTCTCTGTTTCCAAATTGAAATATTTATTCTGTATGTTACTCTCGTATCCAACACAAGATTTCAGGGTTTCCACAGCACCTGCACCCCAGGCCTCAAGGCCAGCTTCCAGCACACTCTACATTTTTCTCTTTGAATATTGGCATAGGGGATCTGCAGGGGCCCAGTTTCTTTGCTGTCCTGGACTGCTCTGAAGTTCTTTAGTAGCACAGGTGGTCTAGAAAGCAGTGACATCTTGCCAGCTGGAAAGTGATGAGGGAAACTCTGAGATGACTTTTGGTCAGCATAGTAGCCCTGCACTCTTAATTTATCTAGGTCAGAGGGGAGAGTAGATGTAAAATGCAGAGAAGTCCAGTGAGACCACTGCCCTGCAGCAATCTGGGTTTACATTTCCTTGGTATACATTTCCTATGGTGGGCAGTCCACTGGGACATGGCAGTTGTCACTCCTCTAAACTGTATAAATGCAGCCAGAATTAGAGAATCTAATGTAGGTTAATTTACCAGGGAAACATACTTATCTGATCATATGCCTAAAAGGCTAATGTTGGGATTGCTAACAGTGTTTTCCAAAGGCCTGGAAATTCTTTCCATCACAGGTTGAATTACCTGTTCAAACATAGTGAGCCCATCAGTTTCTGATCAAATATATTCAGAGAAATGCTGCTGTTGGCTGCCTGCAGAATAAAGAAACCGTGGGTTACCAGACATAAGAAAATCAGGACCCTTGCTGTGAATTACCACAAATACATAAATACCATTCATACCACTTAGCTATAGAACCTGTTTTAGGTAAATGCAAGGCTGCAGACAATAAATGTTTGTTCGTCTGAATGGCACTGACAAGAGCTGAAATGTGGGTAATGAGCTTTCCCTAATCAAAGACGTGAACAAGTTGCCAAGAGGCATGAGCATGACTCATACCCACAGATCTGTCATTCCAGAGAACAAAACCTTGGTTAATCAGAGAGTTTTGATTTTTGTCCATCTATAGGAAAATGTTCTTTGCCACAGAAGTTAAGTGAGGCCACACACAGGCACCACCTGTGACTAAGGGGAATGAATTGGCATGTTTACGTACTAGAAATTTGGCGTTTTCTTTGTTTCTTGTGCGAGTTTTAACAGAAGGAAGGAACAAACATATTTAACCCCGAGTTAAATGTCACCTGGTTAGTTATACTTACTACGTTCATTGTGAACAGCGACTGGGTGGTTGAGTCTGGCAGAACAGCCAACACCTCCATGGAGCCCTGAATCTCTACTGTGAAGGAATCCTGCTCTAAGCTGATGACAGGTATTTCAGTAGCCATTAGCTTCAACATTACTGGGTAGGGTGTAACTGAGTATTTGGCTACCTGTACGATTCCAGGACAAAAAAAAACACAAACAAACAAACAAACAAACAAACAAAAAAAAACCACAACAAAAGAAAAGACAGAAAAACACTTCTTGTAGAACAGAATACTACATTTTCTTATTCTTGAAGCAATCATTTTGAAGTAGTTCCTTAAGATGAGGTTAAGGATAGGTACTAACACAATATTCATTCAGGGAAGCAGGAAATAGAGATTTTCTGCTGTGATAAATTAATGATCTTGGCCACACAGTATGCAGTGGAAAGTTCCTTCCACTTGAGGAATACGAATTTTTTGTATCGCTTTGAGAGAAATAAAATACTGATTTGTGAACAGAAGAGAGAAATGGACCACAAATGTGACATTTAAAGTCACACAATAAAAGAGCCCAGGAGTCATTCACTTTGAAGGTCATTCACCTCACGAGACAGATTCCTCCTCTAATTCCTCCTCTGGACTGTTCTCTTAGGAGCCTCACTCTTTGCATTGCCTGAAGAGTGAATAGGCTCACCAAGTTCATTATCCAAAACAGAGGGAGCGGGATATTATCAGCAATGGTCGTGGCATTTTATGGAGAAGACCATACGATGACTGCCCTTGGAGAATTTTATATTTCTGAGGAAAGAACTTAGTAATGTTTGGGAAGCAAACAAGAATGTGAAGTTCTTTGAACCATTAGTCCGATTTCATCCAACCTCAGCATTCTTAGCCTAAGGGTTCTTATGCTCATTTTTGATTTCTCATTCTGTTTGAGAAGGCTGGTGGAAGCCATGCATGCTCATATTCTCTGTCCTGTTATATTCATCTCCTCCAACTAAAATAGATGGAAATCCTGTGCATCTGCCTTGTCTGTTCCATAGGATGTAATGTTTCCTCATCATCTGTTAGCTGGATTTCCTGCACATGGTCTTTCTGCTAGTCTGTCACAGCAGAACAGTGAAGCAAAGACAATTATGCAGGTTTGGACAGGAGGAAGGTATTCTTTCTGAGCTGAGGCCCTCTCAGAAGTCTCTCAAGGCAGGACTCATGACTGAAAGCTTTTCTTTTTCCTGCATAGAGATAGTTTTAGGGGGGAACAGATGTGGGGCTTGGGCACAGTGCCCAGAGTAAAGACTGATGTGCAAGGTTATGGGCCAAGATTATGTTTGGTAACAGTGCAAGTCATTCAACTCATCGTGGGGGTGGGAAGTGACAAAGCCCATCTGCTCTGTTGTTATGAGGCATATACATGCCAGCTTCTCCAGTGCAGGAGCCCTGCTGGCCCTAACAGCCTTTGGGATACACCAATAGTGAGGTGTCTTGACACCCACACTGGGTGGTTTCCTAAGACCTTGTGGAAGTAATGATACTCACCTCAGGGATGATACTGCCAAATATCTCCGTGCTTATATTAAAATAGCTGCAAGTCTGGAAGAAAAAATAAAAGAGAGAAAACAAATGAGTTACCAGATTTGACCTTCATGGTCAGTTTTTCTCTAAATTATTACTGTAATTTCAATAAATCTTTGATTTTATACCTCTCAGAAATATTCCTAAGAGACTCAGTATATTTTAAAGCTGATTCCCAATAATACATGCCATAATAATTCCTGGGAAAGCAAATGCTTAATGTCATTATAGTCTGGGCTACAGTCTGTAGCTTTTGGGACTTACTGAACCTCTTGCAGTCAGGTAAGCCAAGTCAGGCATCCTCCACGCACAGCTACTGTACTTTGATATATGCTTTCCTTCCATGGCCCCTGTAATACTTTTATTCTATGAATATCCCTCAAAAAACAGCCACTGAGGCTGCAAAAGTCAATCCCTTGTCCACGTCAGAGGAGTCTAGGTCTCAGGTCTACAAAAACCTCATTTTTTGTGACAAAGTTTTGTATCTTACTCAGCGAAACTTGGCATGCTTGGCTGTGGCCCGAGACCTCTATATAAAGAATAAATAAAAGAGAATGATGATACCCTTGTATTTATGATCTACTGTCTCAGAGCTCTGCAGACCAATTAACAGCTTTATATGGCTGCACACTGACATCTGGCAGGTCAAAGCTCTATCTGAGCCACTCAGACCCCACTCCTCTGTGTGCTACTCACCTCCTCTGCAATGGTCATGTTGAAGGCCCCTGCGGTGTAGTAAGCAAATGAGGAGGTCTGAAAAAAGTACTCAGAGAAGGCCAGGAGGAGCATGGAGTCACTTTGGTCTGTAACACTGAAGGGAGCTACCACGTATGGAGAGCCAGTATAGTCTCCAGCTGGGAAGACTGTGCCCTGAAAGTTATTGTCAGAGATGAAAAAGAAAGAGTCAAAATATAACTTTAACATGATTGCAGACAATGAATGCCACTTTTGTACTTTTCCCAGGCTGTTCATTTGGTGTATAAATGAGTGCACAGGCTTCACTTCAAGGGAGTACACCCTGAAGGCTTGGTGCTTTCAAGAAGGCAAGTTCCAGCGTTTGACCACCTTCACAGATGACACCTGAGATCTGTCTTTTGAGATACTGATCACTTACTGAACACAACCCCCCCACCCCAGAACAAAAACCCTCTAAATTAAGGGTCCATATATTGCATGAAAAGCATGACTAGTGGTCCTCATTTTTGAGAAGCCTTACTTTCTCCTTTCCCTCCATCTACTGGGATTTGAATCTGGAACAGATGCTTAAAGCTATCCAATGGTCTCAATTACAAAATTGATTTCTTAAAACCAGAGGTCTTTCTTGGTCAAAATCAGCACCATGCTCTACCAAGAAGCAAGTTGGTAACTTATGCAGACAAAAGAAGACTTGAGAGAAAGGAAAGTTATGTCAGACAAATGCCTATGTTGTCTTCTGTATTACCAATGATATTAGCCAAGACTTGCAGATCTAATGCTTCCAAATGCACACAGATTAAACAAAAAGGTAAAAACTGATTTAAAGTGATGAAGGCACTTAGAGGTTCAAGGTTTTTTTATCTCTTTTATTAGTTTCCTGTCTCTGTTTCATCTCAAATATATTCTGTATGTCTTTACTTTCTCATCCAGCTCTAAATTTCCGTTTGCCTTTTAAGGACTAGCAAAATGCTTACGAAATGCTGAATCACACTGGTGACCTCCCCATTCAATTCTCACTTGCTGGATTTACCAGTCACTTGCTTCGTGTATTTCCCCCACGTAACTTATGTGGGAGAGTAGCTCTTGTAAACAGCCATGACATTACATCTTTAGTCTGCTCAAGTTCCTGCTTAAAATCTAATTGCTGCAATACTCGGAAGAATTTGACAGCAGCTGCAGAGCTGGTGTGCCAAAACCAGTGTCTACCATACAGACACTAACTTTTTGTTCCTTTGTGTTTCCACCTCTCTTATTTACCTGCTGACTTTTGTTAATACTTAATTTATAAGATCTTTGTAATGAGTCTGTCTTTTTTTCATTCCCCCTTTGTAGAGCACCTAGTGCAAGGCAGCTTAAACTTAATTAAGGATCTTGGATACAGTGATGATGATCACCACCCTCAATCAAATCACCTTACATAGAATGACAATGAAGTAATTTTAAAATTAGGAACTAGTCAGATTTTAGTATCAGTACATGAGGAGACTTTTTCCTTAATTTGAAACAATCTTCCAGGTCTTCAGACTCAGCAGCACTCCTTGGGCTCCCATGTTTTTTCAAGGGCCTTCGATCTTCCCATTCAGGAAGCCAGAGGCTGAATTCTTGGTCCTATAGTCTTGCTCTTTCTTTTCCTCTCTTGTCTGACAGCAGACACATCTAGTTAGTGCAATGTGTAGAAATATTCCCCTGACTGACTGAAGAAAGAAGTCCTAGACATTAATCAGTGAGAGAAAGATGATGTTGACTATTTTTTCTTTCCTTTTCTTTTCTCTTTCTTCTAACTTGCTTTGTCAACTTTTACTGCTTTCTCTTTTCTATAACTAACTCAACAGCAAATAAAAACGAAAGGATGTGGATTTTCAATAATTCATTTTACAACAAGATTGTTACAAATTAATACAATACAAATGCAATAATGCTTTGAAATGTCTGTCTTCTCAGATACTGAGCCTCTGTGTTCAGAACAGCAATCATGGTCAGCTTGGAAAGTGGATCATACAGCAGTAAAACCCACAGCAATCTTGGCAAACAGCACTACAGGCAATTACTTACCTTTAAGTCCAGGTCAATGAATGGTTGGAATACTGCTGGCAAGCTACTTAAGGAGTAGTCTACTTCAGCCAAGTCATCAATAGGCATTACAACTGTAAGAGTGGTAGATAAGGCAAGGTGCAGAATGTTACAAAAAAAAAAAAACAAAAAAAAAACAAACCGCAGAAAGAATTTTCTGTATACTTAAAACTAAGTCAGTTTCTGATGGAGAATGACACCAATTGCTCCAGACAGTAGGAAAAAACACAACCAGGAACTTCCTAACATGCATTGTGAACTAAGGCTTGATGTTTCTACTGGCACCTTCTGTAAAGCATCATCTTTAGCTTGTCTGTTTTCTCACTGTGGAAAAGTTTGGTCTAACAAAAAGGGGGAAATGCCCATCAGTGATTCAGGGCATGAGGAGGCACTGGGATTTCTTGTCAAACAGTTCTAAGAGCATCCTGAGTGTCTCTAACTTGCAAATGCTTTCCCAGAAAGGAGGGTGCCTGATCTGCTTAGGTACTTGTATTTTGCGCATGGTATCTGACCAACACTTCTGGTGTCCTAAAAGCCTGCAAATCTAACCCAAAATAGTTCAAGTGAGAAGGTGTTTTTGCCAAGGAGAATTTCCTTTTGCCTTTGACAAGTCTGACATATAGGCAAGTAAAACTAAAATATTCAGGCAGGCTAGGAGAGCAGGCTTCAGCTTTTAAAGTCCTGTGTGTGCAGGAGGACTTGGAGCATGGGAGGGAAGGGACAAGTGCCTTAGTGTCAGTACTTTGTGGCCTATAAGTTGCATTTCTAACAACAGAAGTGCACACTGCCGCATTTGCAATTGAGAATCGCTACCAAGTCCTTGGCTCTTACAAATTCTTGCCCAAGTAGACCTGCCTTTATGTATCTGGTTCTGTAAGCAAGGTAGCAGACAGAGCAGAGGGGCTGATACACCACTTCTGGGGGCATTGCTGACCAGCAGCTGTTAAGGAAGCTGCAGAATTTCTCTGATCAGCAGAGAAGAAGGAGAAGGAAAAGGTATCACTAGTGACTCACCATTCAGTGATCGGAGGTCTTCATCTATCAACTGGATCCCAGCTCTGATGTTGGGACATGACTGTAACAAAAACACACTCAAGTTATAGCCTGATTAACGTGGACATGTAAGCACCTCTTATATGTGTGCTAGTAGATCCACGTGACACACATTGTAGCATTTATTTATCAAAACACCTAATCTGGCTTTTCTGGATCCCCAAGGCTTCTGCTTGGTGCAGTGCTAGCATATCCTATGTCAGAGCTGCAAAAAAAGAGGGAAGTTGCCAGAGGCAGCCTGATGGGGGTGACAAAAGCACAGCCTTAAATAGCACAAGGAAAACAGATCTCATTTTGGTCTCACAGGAGAGATATCAGAATCATGGACTCATTTAGGTTGGAAAATACCCTTAAGATCATTGAGTCCAACTATAAATCCCTGTTCTGGGACAGAATCACAGCCATCTCAAGCTCTGTCTCCTCTCAGTGGCCCTGGTCAGGTTGTCATCAGGACTGCTCACATCTCTAATACAATGAGATTTAAGTATGTCATACTATCACTGATGTACTATAATTTCTCTATGCATAACCCAGTATATGTTTTGTCTGCCAAGTGTAAAAATTACCCATACTCCATAATGCCTGTAGGTACGCAGGCAGAGACTTATTCTGCTTTGGAATGAGAAAAGAACTACATTTTCTAGCCCTCCTTCTGCCTTGGTTGATCTAGCTGTGGACTGGTCAGTATCTTGGCCATGAACTTTATGTGGAAGCATTTCTAGCTGGCAAAATGTTACCTGTGCTGATCAGACCTGAATAGATCTATTACCTGATTATTTTTCTAGTTGTTACTTTACCAAGCTTACAGCAGAGACTCCTGAATGTCACACTCCTTACACCCCTCCCCTACACAATGTGAAAGGCTTACATTAGTGACCAAGCTCCTGTGAATAGGTTTCTTCAGATACTTGATAAAGAAGTTATGCAGGAAGCTAGAGGGAAGGAAGAAAGCAGTTCATGGGTCAAATACCATGGTCATTAACAGGAGATCAGCTATCTCTGTTGAACACTAATTTAATGTCCTTTGAGTGTGATATTCTAGTATACAAGAGAGCTTTCTGAAATGTAAAACTATTAGAGAGCCACTATTAAAAAATAATAATAAGATAATTTCAGCATCTCAGCAATTAGCCAGGGTTGATTCATCTTTATGAAAAAAGGAATTCTTCGTAGTACCACCATCGTATATGTATAAACACAGAACAAGTAAGTAGTGTCTGCACTAGGAACTTCTGATACAAGTAAAACCAAACAAACACAACAAACCCAGGTGGCAAATGTGGTATTCAGACAGTGAAAGAAGTACAAGGAAACAATGAAATATTGTTGCATGTATCCAGAGGCTTAACAGACAGAAGTCTGGCTCTGTTCAGTTTTGATAGCATTGTGACTGGGGGAGTGAAACACCGTACAAGCATATAGCTTCTACTCAGAGCCGAAGATTAGAGCAGGCGTTTGAAAGAAGTGGGTGCTGAAGAAGCACAAGGGATTGTTTGATTCCATCTTATCTTCTACCGTGTGCAAATGGAAGGATAAATATCGATGTTGGCCATTTTAACACTGTATTAGGGCCCCAGTTCTCAGCTGTGGTCCCTATAGATGCCTAAAAGCAATTCTGCATGCCCTGTTTTGTGAATCTGTTCCTGTGCTACTCATTGACATTGTTATTTTCTCCAAGAGTTTATACAGATCTCTTCCACTTACCCACTTTTTCCATTCAGCTTAATATCTATGTCACCAGAAGTTGTCCGGCAGCTGGTAAGGGATATTGACGTAGGACTTGTATTATCCTGAGGCATTGAAAAGATTGCAGTGACAAACACCTTGGAAATGTGCACTGTGCTTCTTCCACTGTCTTTGCTGCATAAAGTAAAAAGAAATAAAACACTGAAAAAACCCACTTGTTCACTATGGACTTGCCTGGCAGTCTGGGCATGGGACTGGGAAGGTGTGGACATGGTTCTAAGGATATTGCCGTTTGCTCATCCATTTTCCCTCATCTTTTGAGCTATATCTCCTGGAGGCATAGCAGAAGGTTTCTAACAGTGTGACTGCACTGGGAGGTTTTATTATACTGGATTGTGACCCAGCACACTACAGTTTTTCTAAATGTGTCATTAGCTGGCAGGCTGGATAATGACACCGTTCAGCAGCAGTCCTGTATTATTCTTAGCAGTGCTTCTCAGCCATGGGCTCTATATCAGTGCTCATGTCTGAGGGGGCTGTCTCCCACCAGCAGACCTGTTGAGAAGAACCAGTCTGTGCTTCTGGGTTACTGCTGCCAGCTGATAAAGAACACCTTTGCCATGGAAGAGGTCACAGGAAAAGCCAAGCTTTGCATTTTTATCTTTATATGAAGAAAAAATCCCAGGACACATTAAGCTGTACATACAACATCCAGGTCCTTATGTTCCAGTTCATGTCGATGGTTAGAGAAGCATTTCCTATCACCAGTTTTATCCCAGACCCAGGTAGGAGGGAGATGGAACCACTAGGTAATTCAACAGCAGTGACATGTATCCTAGAGCATGAGACAGATAAGGGAGAGATAAGAAAAAGTTTGTATTTCATGAGTCAGAATGAACACAAAACAAGATTCAAATTTCAGTCAAACATAAATTACCCCTGGAGAGAATACTTACCCTGAGATGTTGTATTTGACATTACCAAGCCCAAATTTCTCATGGCCAGTCAAATCAGGGAAATGCTCCTTTTCCATATTCTGCTTCAGGATTTCCAGCCCAACCTCCTTGGCTACAGAAAAACAATGATCAGTTCAGTTGCCTTTGATACTGCCTGGGAATTTATAGTTATGTGTTTCTGGCTCAGGAGATGGGATGGACACAGAATTAGGAAGATGAAGATATCTCACGTGAAACCCAGTAGTGCTATTTCTGATCTCCCTCCTAGTTATGGCAAGAGCTGAACTGATTCAATATCTGAAGTCAGATGAACCTCAGTATGATGTACAATGCTGTCAAGAAGCTTACTGACTCTTAAATTTTCCTTTATAGCCTGCGATCAGGTCATTTCCTCCTACTGCCCTCACTGTCCTGTGTCTCTCATATCAGGATTCAGTGCAATACCACCAGCAGCTCCTGAAAACATCGCACATACCATACTCTAAGCCCTTCTGTGTGATCCTCACTTTGAGTCCAGGATTGGCATTGATTTGTCCACTGAGCAAACTTAAGAGAAGGAGAGAACAGCAAATCTTCAGCATCTTCCTCGTTTTTTACAGGACCTGTTAATAAATATTTATAATGATAGCAAAGTTCATGCTATGTCACTTGGTGGTTGCACTCCCTTCCCCTCCACCCTAGACACCAGCTTTTCCTCTAGAGTGGAGAAAGCGGGAAGCTCAGCAGCCATGGAAGAGAGGCCCCATTCTGCACAGACTTACAAAAATAGAGATCCAGGGGGTAGGGTAGAAAAGTCAGCCTATTTACTGTCATAGAGACTGGGGAAAGCACTTGGGATACATCCATCCAGACAAACCCTATCAAAAGGGACGTGACATAGAATTAGTTCCTCCTGGTGATTCAGCAGACATCACTGCATCTTAGCACTTTGGAAAACCTGATCAGCTCACTTAATTACAGGCACAGATACCCCCACTTTTGGAACTACTTAGTCACAATTTTGAAAAGTCCCTTATGTTCCCTTCTGACAGTCAACAAAAGAAAATGATTTGGTGCCAGCAGAAAATGTTTTCATATTCCCTAAACCGTGTTAATAAATGCATTAAGTTTTATCCAGAAACTCTCAGTGCAAACTCCATGGTCCAACAGATGTTTGGCTTTGCTTGTTTGCTGTTTCATTACCAGAAGTAATAAAACACCTCAAAGCTCTAAAATATTTTCAGTTATGATAACAGTTTAAGCAAACTGCAAAATTGTAACACTGACTTAAATTTTTGTAAGGGTTTCAATCCCACAGAACACCTTCACTTTTAAGTATGATAGTATTTTCTTTTTAATTTTGACTTTTATTGAGAGGTGAAAGAAACACACTTCACGTGCGGAATCCAGAGGTGAAAGACACACAGTCCATGTATAGAACAAAAACGAAATACCAGAAGGAAATGTGTATTTAACATAGGCATAGTTCTCAAATCATAAAATCTCAACATTTAACCAGATTTAGCTACATCTATCTCTGTCCAACAAAGCCCCTCCTCAACAAAGAGTAATCAAAACACATTTATTTTCATACCTGTCCTCTGAAGACTGAAGAGAAGACTTACTGTACCAGACCACAAGGCTGAGGATGATGCACGGAAAATCATCTGTCACCACGACCCCGTCTTTTAAAGGAAAGAGCTGTGAGCTTGAAGACTTGCTATCATCTTCAGCAGTATCACACAGGTGTGGCCTCTCAGATAATCACATCCCAAACTATTTTGGGTGTCCCAGGTTAAATCTATAGAATTTCATTTAGGGATAAGCAGGGGACGATGTGAACTGTTGGATGGGGGTGCTCAGGCACTGGGACGCTGAGTTTGGGATGGCGTTTTGCCTTTGTGGCAAACTGTTTCAGCACTGACTTTTCAGATGGACCTAAAAGGAAACCCCAGTGAGAATTCCAGTAATTCCACAGGACAGACACTCAAAGCCAGGTTTGTACTTTGAAAGAAATAAATTAATGTGTCATCACTATGAAGAACAGATGGAAAACAAGGCCCATCTGTCTGAAGTTGCTCAGGATACAGAAACCCACAAACCATATAGTATTTATGTTATAGCATATGCATATGTATGTACACACAGACACTATGGTGTGCGGATATGGTGCAAATATATAGTATCAAGTCCTTGTAGTTAATATTTTCTATTTCTTGTGCTTACTTATTCAGTTAACCAGTACTTCAGCTAACCAGCGCTCCTTGGCTTGTCAAGGAGGTGATTTAATCAGTTAGCTTGCATGTACCAAGCACATTCCCTCAGGCATGGAGCACTTTGATGGACAATCTGAGTCACTTCATTGTGCAATCCATGAATAGAAAAGGTAGAGACAGTTGTCAGTCAGTCAACAAATACTCATATTTACACAGATTTAAGATTCACTGCAGGGAGTCGCATAATAATTTCATTATTTATATCTATGGCAACTGATGATGACTATCATTCACACCACCAGTTACATAAACCTCTCTAAGTTCTTTTGGCACAAGTTCTGCAGTTCCTATAAAGCAAGGGGAAAGTTCCATTGTTTCCATCCACACAGATCTCCAAGATGTACGAGCAACTGAACTGCCTGAAAACTATGTCAGCTTATCCTCATCATATCCTTCTAACATGTTATGATTCTTCTAATCTAAGAGTACCACCCAGTTTAGATAAGACTTTCAGCAAAAGTTAACAAAGACAAACTAGGGCTTCCAGAAGAGTTCCATCATTTCTTTCTACAAATATAGGAATAAAAGGCAACTATCTACATACAGACACATTCAGATACACATATAAATACACTATAAATAGCTTCTACATCCAAACTTTTCACCCTTCAAGGTGTTACAAAGACCCTCTAAGAGGAGTGTTTTATTTCAGCTTTCTCTGTATTTTCTTTGATGTGTATGCTAAAGGGGATGTAGATTTCAACCCCTTTTACCCAATACAGAAGAAACCAAATTAAGTTATCAGTATGACAATACTACAAACTTGTCGCTGCATCTCTGCAGATCACTGGCTTTGCATACTTCCTGTCCCTGCCTCTGGTTCAGCACTCCAGTGGTCCCTTTCCCTGCTCCCCAATTCTCCCTTTTCTCCATGCTCTCTATTCTGCAACATATTGATGAACGTGAATAATTTCCATTGTTCTATCAATCAGGAGACACCGTCAGATCAAAAACGGTATAGTGACCTGTAGGTAAGTATAGGATGATACAGGGGGAACTGTTGGTTTATGTGACATCCTCTTTAGTCCTCAGAGAAACTACTACATCACTTTGTGAACAGCCAGAGGACTAGAGCTTAAGGGACAGTGTTGTGCTAAGCCATGATTCTGGCCTGAAAAGGTCCATCGAGCCATGGTACTCTGTCAGTCCTGCAGCTTGTGTCCCTTTGGAAGAGAAAATAGATAGACACTAAGGCTTTAGTTTTCTTTTTCCCCTGTATCTCATGAACTGTCCTCCAAATAGGCAGAACAAAATTCCTGATATCAGTGAGGGACACCAAACTAATTAAAAATCTTCATTTCTTTTGAGTTCTTCTTCCATTCTTTTTCTAGTCACTCTTCACCTACCACAGAATACAATGAATCAGATGCTGTGATTTACTGCTGTTTGGTTTCAGGATGCTTTTTTTTTTAGTAAAAAACTGTATCAGCCAGCTAGATAAATAAACTGATTCAGCTAAAGCTATGGAAGCCACATTTCTGTCCCAAGCTGGAACTGAACTTTCTGTAGTGAGACATTTGGAGACTAGCTTTTCTTTCCACACACTTTTAATATCTCCTGCTTGAGTGTCTCTGATGACACTGACATAAGGCAAAATAAAGATTCGAGATCCATTTTATAAATATCAGGAGAATGAAATTATTTGGAGACTGATACCCTCAAAGAGGTGCATCGACTCACAAACAAGGAACAACTGCTGGATGATACAGAGGCCAAGGACAGCCTTGGCTGAAATGAGCATGAAACTGGGGAGTAGTTTCAGATTCTGAGAGCAGCAGCAAGACAAAGAACAGAATTACAACCATAGACTTCAGATGAGAAGATTACAGGGACCTGCTTGGCAGGATCTGTGGGAAATTGCCCTGGAGAGCAGAGGCCCAGAAGAGCTGGCTAATCTTCAAGGGCAGCCGCCTCAGAGCATACGAATAGTCCATTACAATGTTCAGACAGTCAAGCAACTATGGCAGAAAGCCATGATGGATGAACTTGGAGCTCCTGAGTGAGCTCAAACACAAAAAGGAAGCATAAAGAAGATGGAAACCAAGACCAGATACTTGGAAGGAACACAAAGATCTTGTTTGCACATATAGGAATAAAGTCAGGAAAGCCAAAGTTCAGTTGGAGCTCAAGTGCAACAGGAAAGGTTTCCCTAAGTACACATTTATAGCAGAAGAAGATGGGTTTATTGCTCAGTAAAGTGGGAGACTGGTGACAAAAGACACAGAAAAGGCTGCTTTTACAAGCAAGGCTTGTAGGTGCGGGTTCTCAAGGGGGCTTGAGAACGTGAACTACAAGGAGAGTCTGAGAGATTAGGCCTGTTCAGATTTGAGAAGAGAGGGCTTGAAAGGCCATTTTGTTGCCTGCAATGGTTTGGTCAGAGACTACAGAAAAAATGGATCCAAACTCATCTTGGAAGTGTGTGGTGAAAGTACAAAAGGCCACAGAACAAGCTGGAACATGGGAAATGCTGATTTGATATTAGGAAAAAAAATTATTCTGAAGGGAGTTAAAGAGTGGAACAGATTGCCTGGAGAGACTGTGGAACCTCCATCCTTGAAGGAGTTCAAGACTTGACTGGACACAGTGCTCAGTAACCTTATATAATTAGTCCTGTTTTGAGCCAGTGTTCTGAACTAGACTATATGATTCTATAACTATATGGCAATTAACTGGATTTTATAAATTTCTTCCCACTCTTGCTATCCAGTTACAAAGGGACAAATTGTGAAACATTTACCAAGAATAAGATTTCACTCCATACACAAAATTTTGCCAACACGAATGGAGATAAATTGAATAATGCAAGAAATTGTTCCTAAAATTAACAAAATGTAGTGTCTATAACTCTAGTGAAAAGAACTAGTCACTCCTTCTGATCAAGCTGCAACAAATTTTCCAAAGCATCAATAACAGTTAGCTACACTCACTGTACTAAAAACCGACACATTCACTTTGTGAAAAGTGCTTAAAAAGTTTTACTAAAACACTAAAAATAGTGATGAAAAGCCATGCTCCTAATGTTATAGCATCTACTCCCTACGAGCTAACAGAAGGAAAACTACATTTTTCTCTTTTTATTCTTTAGAAGTAAAAAGACATCAGGAGTGGCTGTGGAGGTCCTCATCTTCCCCATCCTCTGGCTGGTAGTGAACATCAGTGGAAATAACCAGATGACCCTGAGGAAAGAAAGACAAGTAAAATTACCTTAAATTTCAGACAGATATATTCAGGGACAGTACTCTGGGACCAGATACCATGGTAAGCCCCTCAGCTTACCTTTCAGTCCAGGAATGAACTTTAGTCAATGGGTTTTGATGTAGGTTAACACAACACTCCAAAAGGCTGAGTAACACTTACCACAGAGACACTCAGACTGCCTATGAGCCTTCTAGAGAAAGGTCAGCGTAGGAAGGACTCACACACTCAATGCTCCTGAGGGGATAGCAGTGCTGTCCTTGTCATGACCCCATGCCGGCACACCCCAAAGGGCTAGTGGACCCTTTGCTATCTAGCCCTTTGCTAGGGCTGGGGGGCTCATTTTGGATCCAGAGTTTGCATGTTATATCTAATGCATAGTGAAAGCTTTACTAATTACAACATTTAGATTTACCCTACGCAGAAAAACACACAAATGTTCAGACCTGAAACAGAAGCAATATTCTATAAAAGAAATTTGGCTTCTCACCTGATTCATTTTTATTGCAGGTCCAGTCAGGCTAGTGTGGGCCAAATTAAGAACAGGAAATCCTTTTCCTAGTTTATCTTTGGAAAGGACAAATATAAATACATTTGAATGTAATAATAAAATGAACTTCAGAAGCATCTTTCTCAAGGAACTCAATGTGTTTGCAATTTCCCTTCAATTAGCCATCCTTGAGCCTCTCAAGGGAGCAAAAAACCCTGTGAAAAGGTTGCATCTAAACCTCTGACAATCTCTCAGCTGTCTGACACTGCCTTTTTTCCTCTCCAGTTATCTGCCCCTCAAGATCTAGTTTCTGCTGTTTCCCACTCTGCGTTACTCTCCATCTTCCTTTCAATTTCTTCTCTACTTGATCCTCTCATCCTTTTGGCTCCTCTTATTCTCATCTATTCCTACTTTCCTGGATCAAGCCTCAGCTCTATTCCTATTTGCTTTTCCAGACATCTGACTTCCATCCTGCCCTTTCATTCTCTCCTCATTGGTAGCTCACTTCTTTTGTCAGCAGTCTCCTCACCTCTGTTCACCTGAGAGGCACCTTCTGTTACTCTTCCACCTGCTTCTTTCCACCATCATCCCTTTCTTCTCATCCCTCACTACCTGTCTCCTACTGAACTGATTTCTACTCTGTCCTGCCTGTGGCAGCAGGTGAAACATGAAGGCAGAGAGAGGTGATAAAGTCAGAGATGTTATCACCCAAGGCCCAAAGGTGTAAGTGTGCTTCTGCACTTCCTCAGTTTGGGCCAATCTCTGCCCATGGCTTGACTCTCTGTCAGGATGAGACTCAAACATGTCTCAACTCTGCTGCCACACTGCATTCAGGGAAAAGGAAACCCAAGCCCAGTGTCTGAAAGGGAGCTGAGAGTTGTTCTGTCCCAGCCCCTGATCTACACAGCTGAATGACCAGGATCAAAGTCCAGCAGAGAGTAAACCTGTCCTGGTGTCACCAAATGAACAGAAGACCTTACACAGCAAAGTCTTTAAAGCTAGGCACTCCCTTTTATGGTTTCAGTCTTGCTTTCCCCCCTGCTGTGCTCAGAACTAGCTACAATCCTTACCATTGATTACTGGGATTACTACTCTCCGTAAAGCATACGACAGAAAATTCTCCACCACTGACTTCTGCTGTGTGGGGAAAAGCACATTTCATGATTATTGCCTGATGCCTATGGGTTTGCAGCTTGACAAGGAAGGTGAGTGTTAGAACTGAAGTGACATGCAAAAAGATCAGAACAGAGCTTGGCAGAGCAAAGAGGCAAAAAAAAGATAAGTTTTGGTTTAAGTTGAAAAGAGGTGTCCATTTTCTCACAATTAGTTAAATTGAATGGGTTTTTTTTCTGTATGTTAAATACCTGTTGAACCTTAACTTTAGGAATTAAATATGTTCAACCTCATTTCAGCTGGCAGACTCAGTTGTCATATGTGAACTGTTCTCTGGGTGGCAAGAACTGCCTTGTTCTGGTGCTCTGTCTTACGCCACTCTGATTAGTCTCTTCCTCCCTTCACTTAAAGGTATTGGTTGGGCTGAGCTGCTGCAGAGTGTCTCTGATTAATTCTCAGTCTACAGTGAAGGATCAAAGTAGTGGCCTCATGTTTCTTTTATTCCTTATTTTTTATTCCTGTTTTTATGTTATTTAGTTGAAGTAATTTGAGATAATTTACGATACGGAGCTTAAGCCTGACTTTGTATTCACTTCAACTGCTAAACATACTCAGTCCAGCTGTGACTTCTGCCTGAACCCAGGCAGACTCCATAACATTTTGAGCCTCTGATGAAAAAAACAAAACAACACTCTAAGAGGTATTTCCTCTTACTGGAAAGAAAAGCGTAGCATATACTATTTCAAAGCAGAAAGAGAAGTGGCAGATGATATCCCCAAGACAGACCAATAATTGTTCAGCAACAAGTTCAGAAGTATTTCTTTTATCTCTGAAGGGCTCAGCTACTTATCCCATGCACTGAAACCATCAGCTTACCTCAGGGAAACCAAGACTGGAGTGCAGTAGGGAGAACTGGAACCTGAAGAGAAGAAGTAAAAGAAGAGGATTCACTATAAAAGATAAAGGTACAACTTATGCACACTGCTTGAAGATTTGTTTGTGGAAATTCATACTGATTTCATGCTGATTCACACATGTAACTTTGCCAAAGACTCTTCAATTCCCAACAGCTGTTAGTTAAAACTGGCACAACTGCAAATGAGTTATAGAATCACTGGGATCTTTCTGGTACTAATCTCCTCTTACAGTCATGTGTAGTTCTGGGCTGTAATTGTAAGACTTGGAAAATCAATTTTTTCCTGGAATTGCTATTTCTCCAATGGCTGAACTACACATTCCTCAAATATGCATTGTGATTTGAATTAACTTTTTCCACTGATGCCTGTAATGCATCCTCAGATCATTGTAAACATAATCCTGGAGAAAAACAAAGTTTTGAAGAACAGAAGAACACAATCTTGTGTCAAAAGCTCTAAGTGAGTGGCACCATTACTTCTTAAACTTATACTGACACCATTACTTCTTAAACTTATACTGCCAGGCTCTGATCATTTTAAGTCCTCTTTTTCAATTAAAAAGATCCAGTGGCAAAAACTAAGAAAAGGCCGCTTATATTTTTCTTTAATGAAATTGTAATAGATTAAAAAAATACAATATATTCTGGAATTCAACTTGGAGTATAACACTAACAAGAAGAGACACTGATGTGGGCAAATGGGCTACCTGTCTGAAAGTCTGCACTTCCATCCACCTGGTGCATTTATGGAGAAAGGGGCTGTAAACTCAGCCCAGCTCAAAGTGCTAATAAAATTTTTCTAAGACAGCTGGGAATAACCATAAATGTAGGTATACACAAAAGTAGCAAGATCTAAGAGAAATCTAAAAAGCTTTGAGCTTTGTTTCAAACTGCAGACCCCTTTCCAGTCTCATTTGTTTGATGGCATGGTGTCTGCTGCTGGAGTGTGTGCTGTGCGGTCTCACTTTTTCCTTCCCCTCATGTGAAGGCATACAGAGAGATAGTTTGCACTCCAGCAGTTCTGTTTATGATGTTCAGACTTGGCATGGCAGCAACATTTAGTGGGTTTTAAATAAACTACTCCAAGATCAGCACAGACTGAAACAGATGCCTTTATGATAACTTATAAATTGAATGTTGTCCTCTGGAAAGGTATTTAACCTACAGAAAGGGGAAGTATCACAAGAGATATGGTTATTCCACAATATTATTGTATTTCATCTGAACGATTTAAACCAATCAGTTGAAAGTATCTTAAGAGTTTCTGTGAGAAAGAAGGTAAGAAAGAAAGTTCTTTTTGTCATGGTGAAACAACTGTCAGGCCGACACAATGAGTTCTGTTGTGTCCTAATGTTGGGAGCATTGATGTCGCTTTCTACATTTTTCTTGGTTACCTCTTCAGAAGTAATGAGATAATCAACTTCTCTTTGGTTATTGTCAAATTGGCTCTGGTACTGGCTGTCTGCAGAGAAAAAAACAAAACAGTCTTGTGTGACTGTTTACACAAATAGATACTGTCTCAGACACAGGCACAAATGTAATTGCTTTTTTGATGGAAACACAATGTGTAAACTTTTTATGTGGCCAATACATGTAGATAGTGAAATAATTTGTGAATTTACTGATTTCTGCCAGCAACTGAGATTGTGTGAGCAAAATGATAACACTGCCTCCTTATCATTAGGATCATTTAAGTCTTTGTGTGGCTGACCTAATTGGTTCACTTGCAACCTCATGAAAAATGTCTGGGGACACACTGAATGACTTTATAACAAAGAGGTTAGGAAGACTGGGCATCAGAAAATAACATTTTTATATATTACAATTTATTCTTGAATAATCACTCAACCTCCCATATGGAAAAAAGAACTTTCATAAGTAGCTCTCTGCACCTGCCTATTAAACCCGATAAATTCCACAATATGTGGTGCACATTTGCTCCCTCTGAAATGCAACAGAACAGTGTGCATATTTGTGGCAGACCAGTATATGCTATTTTATGCTGATCTCTATGATTTTCAAAGGACCTGGAAGATTACTGTGTGATTTGTTCAGCCCCAGCACTGAATGTTATCTTCTAGCTCATTTTACTTACTAGGTTCCCTGTAAAGATGTACTGGGTGGTTGAATTTGGCAGAGCAGCAAACACTTCTACAGAGCCAGTGATCTGTAGGATGCATCTGTCTGCATTTAAACTGACTGTGGGTGGTGATGTGGCCATCAGCTTCAGCAGCACTGGGCACGCTGCTGCCTGACTCAGGGACATCTGTGGAGGCTCAAGGAGGAAAAAAACCTTAGAGTGCAGAGTTAAGCTCTTCTTAAGCTACAGTTTCTGTAGCTGCATCATAAACAGGTGTTATCTACCAATCCTCTTGTAATTAAGCAATATTAAATATACTTCATTTTAATTACACCAACGGAAATGACAAGTTTAGCATTGCATATATTTTGAGTTTCAGAAATGATAAAGCAAATGGTGAAGTTTTAAACCCATTGTTATTAAACATACATAAAGAACCAATTTAGAGGTTGTTCCTGAAAAATGTATTTCAAGAGAAGGAGATTAGCATGATAAGAAATGAGGGAAATGAGTGATTCCAGTAAAAAAATAATCACTTTGACAATATAAAGTATTTGGAAAAGTGACAGCTTGCAAAAGAGCAAATATTTTGAAAAGTAGAGACACTCCAAAAGGACAAAACTTCAGTTTGCAATAACACAGATTCTGAATTTTGTCATCTTATAGAAAATGTTGCTATGTTTTTACAGCAACTCATAGTATCTTAATTTCTTGCATCACATGTATAGACTCATGACTATTATTTCCCACTGTATGTAAACTCCAGTAGTTAAAAATCATGAATCTTTGCTGAAGTCAGGCTACCAATAGCAGAGATACCATTGCCTGGAACAGGAATAAAAGGAGACTGATCTCACAGATGGCTACCACTTATTCTGTGTAACTATTTCAAAGACTGAGAGCAAATCCAGAACTTAGAGACTTAGAGAGGTAGAGAATAACTAATGTGTAGTATGATACAGTTAGGAAGAGTTATCATGGGGTGGACACGTATGTTTGAATCTTGCACTAATCATAAACCAGTTTTCTTGTCTCCTCCAAACGTTTTCAAATGAGATCACTCAGATAATATCCATAAGGAACATTAGATACTGCTTTTTCTTTCTTTATAAGTAAAAATACTCACCTTGGAGACAAAATATTTGAGTAGGGAGGTATTTAAGCTAGAAGTAGTAGCAAGCTGTAAACAAATAAAATAAATTAGATCATCATTATATCAGCCTGAAAATTATCTTTTCCTTGGGAAAAAAAAAACCAAAAAACAAAAACAAAACCCCAAACAATATATCCTGTTTATTTTAGTTTTAGATAATCCATGTTTTGATTTAGTATTTCCTTGCCTGAGAATGATTCCTAAGGAATCCTCAGTGCTCTGTGGGACAAAAGAGAGATAGATTTCTCATGGACTTGATTCAGAAGCACGTACTAGTGAACAACCATTGTTCTTCGAAGGAACAGACATGACATCCTACCTTTGAGACTTTCTCAGATGAAATATGCTGTGTATGTCAGAGGCAAGGACTCAGAAATCTCATCTGCTCTTTTGCTGCTAACCACTGTGATGATGTTTGTTAGTGCCATTCATGTCACCAGCTTCCATAAAGACCCTCTCAGCATTGCTTGTTATGAGAGGTCTTGTAAGTTCTTCAACCACAGCTGAAAGCTTAGTTTCTTTGTACCTGCTTCTTGCCTCATCCTATTGCTCCATTAAGTCTAAGGATTTATTCTAGCTCTCAACATAGCCAATACATCTGTTGTGGGCCTCTGTACAGCAGACTGTGGCTTCAGTACACTTTGTCTTGTCTTGCCCTTTCCTGGGTGCAGTCCATGCAGAGAAAAGCTTTCTTTTCGTTCTTTCTGCCGCTCCTGGCACACCAACTCTGTGATGTTCATATCTGTCATTCCTTGCCTAGAGCTGCCAAGAAGTTCAGACTTAGGTCTGAGGGGGACTTGAATGATTTTAAATTATGACATACAGAATGAATGTCACGAATCCCTTCTACAAATGGTAGAAGTGTGACCCGAATCTGTGTGAAATGGCAAAGATAATGTGTTAGTTTCCTTTGCTGACCTGACTATCCAAACTGCTGATATTTGCAATTCTATTACATGCAAATTATACTCACCTCTTCGGAGATGGTGATGTTAAAGGCTCCTGCTTTGTAGTAAGCCAGTGAAGCAGACTTTAGAAAATAATTGGAGACTCCCAGGTATATCATGGAATCACCCTGGTTTGGGAGAGCAAACGGAGCTGGCACAAAGGGAGGGTCTGTGTGATTACCTACAGGATAGACTGTGCCCTGCAAAAAAATTCATTATCAAGTATTTTTAGTTGAAACATTTGTATCTGTGAGAATGCTTTAGCACTGGTTGAACAGGAAGAAAAGCTAGACATTAAAGAAACCATGAACTAAGCAATTAAGTTTGTGCTATGCCTTAAAAATCAGCAAATTCAGGTTCTTCTAAAAAAAATACAGGAATGAAAGAAGTTTGCATTTGATCATTCAAGCAAGTATTCTGAACAGCAGTTACAAGACACACACACACAAAATAATTATCTAGAGCGCAGTTTTCTTTCTCTTGTAGCAAAGACGCATTTGTTAATTTTATGTTAAGGGTGACATTTCAAGAAAATCTTCAGGCACACTCCAAAAACACTGGAAGTTGCTTAGGACGGGGATACACAAAGGAGCCTTTTATATTACCTAACTTTTTGCCCTGGCCCTGCTGCCAGTCCTCCAAGACCTAATTTTGGTGCTGTAGGGGACCTTGATTCAGGTATGCTAAGAAAATAACTATTAAAATTGAGAGGGTAGGTGAGTTCAGGCCATGTAAGGAAAGTAATACAGATAGCAAGTAATGTAATTGCTGACACTGGGAAGGTTAGTAGCTGGAAGATTCAACAGGAAAAACACTGACATGGGAAGGTATAAAATCCTAAGAAAAAAAGCTGGAAGTTAGAAGACGACAATCAACCTGTTCCAAGCAGCACCAAGACCAGTAACTTCCTTGGCTGACTTAGAATGAGTCATCCAGTGTCCCAGTGGGATGTCCACATGTTAAAGCTTAGCCTGTAAATTCTAGACAGCTACAGCAGCTGATAGCTTATTGCTTAGTTCTTTTAAGCTATTTATATCCTGCTTGCAAAAAGTTTTCTGTGGGTGGTGAAAGTTGCTTGAACAAAATACTGTTATAAGAGTTTCAACCACAGCTTGGGCAAATTAATTGAAGTCAGTTCTGAGAGCCATTGGGATGCTCTGAATTACAAGGACTGTTGAAACTGCTGGGAAAGCTGGGTGTTGATGAGATCTCTCTTGCCAACAAAGGTGAAAAACAGATAAGACTGGAACTGCTATGTGCTGCTCAAGGACTGTCTGTGAGGAGTCTTCTTTTTGGGTGTGACCTGTACTTATACAAGATGCTGAGTCATCTCAAAACAAATGCTTTGGACTGCAATCGCACTGGTAGCCATCACAGATTAGGTATCACTGGTAACAGGCAGAACACCAAGCAGCAATGCAAGAGCTGTGTATCTAAAGAACACTTTTATGCTGTTTGTAAAGCCCCTTTGAAGGGTTTCAACTCTGAATTAATTTAATTCTAAAGAATAGCTTTGGTTAATTAACAAATGCAGTTAATTTATTAACTAAACAATTGCATTTGGTCTCAAAATAACTCCTGACCAAAATTCCCAAATGTCTTACTGCTTTTCTAAGTAAATACTGAAGAGATTCAGTAAGATTGGAGTGAAAGAAAATGAATCAACTCAAAAGAGAATCAGAAAACTGTCAGAAAGCACACTGATATTAAAGACAAATTACCTTCAAATCCAAGTTAATGTGTGATTTGAAGACTGCTGGAGAGCTAACTAGGGAATAGTCTACTTGAGCAAAGGCGTCAATCTGGCTTAAGACTAGAAGAATGATGGACAAAACAGACATTATTACAAAAACACATCACAAACTGTTACTGCTTAGTTAAAGGCAAAGACATTATAGAAATGATGAATCTGAAGTAGAATAATGGTGGGAGAAGGAAGAAGACAACAAAAAAAGAAACTGTTATAAGGGAATCTGTAAGACTATTCCCTCTGGAAAAGTCACTGATACCTCCTGGTTTAGGCCTTGTTCCCCTGCTGTTCACAACTGAATACACCTTGCACAAGTCTCTCCCATGCAGTGAAAAATGTAGGGCAGTCTCCTTTTTTGTTACGTATTTGCACAAGAGAACTAAACTCCCCTGTATGATAAATGAAGTACTGGTAAATACTACTAAATACTTTGGAAGATGACACTAGCACATTTTTCTGCCAATTAGAGTTGAAGAAACTGGGTGTTTTTTCACAACAATTGAGGGCATTTTATTGTCAATATGATTGAAGACTTCTTCCGAAAGGCACTCAGATGCAGCTGCATTCTGATTGTTATTTTTGATTGGACTGTATAGTCTGTTCATCCTGTATAAAAATGAGATGGGTTTGAAGAAATGGTGAATTCACAGTATAACAGCACAGTTTGGAGTGCCCTTGAACCTGAGTTATTTAACTATATTGCTGCATAGGAAAATGTTCTTCATGACTGTGATTTTCAGTAATACTTGCCACTGCAAGTGGCACGTGGCAATTACAGGTCATTTTAGGAAAAATAAATGTCTATTTATGGTGCTTCTGAAGAGCAGAGCAGATAATAGAAATATCCACAGTGAAAAGTGAAGAGCATGTGTTTGGGAACAAACTCTATGACCTGAATTATATTAGTTACAGGAATCAAGTTAATTTGAATTGAGAAAAACAACAAATATTTTTAATCTTGGGGGAAAAAATTAACAATAACAATAAAAGAAAACCTGTGGCATTGATTACAGTAGTGAAAATCTTATATTTATGTGCTTTTTGAACACAGACTGTATCCATGTCTCTGCAAGAGTGACACAGTAATTGTTACTGGTGGGAAAAGAAACATTCAGTGTGACACTGTCTTCCTACATCATCTTGTTAAGTCACTGAACACGAGTCTTATGTTCAAAGTACAAAGAACACAAAGGATCAACATGAAAATGCTTGGAAATCTAAGGAAATAACACAGCTCAGCTACAACAGACTGAAAGATTACAGGTGACTTGCTATGGGGACAGAAGAAATCTGAATAGTTTATATAAAATGCATGCAAGAGATTTCTAGGGCGTAACATGGAATAGGTTAAGGTACAGAACAATGGTTGTATTTTTAGTCCTTCACTTTTTTGGTGCCATGAACACAGCTATAGTTTGGATTCCAATAAAAAAGGATATAATTTGAGCGCTATGAAAATTACTTAACAAAAAGCTGTTATCAGCAACTCACCCTTATGCTTTCTAAGCTGTGCATCCATCATTTGGATTTTGTATTTGATATTTAGGCATAGCTATATGAAGAGAGACACAAGTCAATAATGTAAGGCCTGTATTTTAACTTCTCCCTTCACTATCTGAAGCCATCCTTGCAAACTTACATTTTTATCCAATTTGGTGTGAATGGGCTTCTCAAGATAACCAGATAGGAAGCTGTAGATCCAGCTGGAGGAAAGGAAATTAACATAGTGGCTTTTTACCATGGGTTGAAATCTTTGAAAAATAAAATCTGGCAGATGGGGACATCAATGGCATTTATATTAATGAGAAGCAATTACACCAATATGGCAGGCTGAAAAGTTGACTGTTTTTATTAATTTGAGTCTCAGACAAATGTTAGGGGGTCTCAGTCTCAGAAGAGCTATATAGAAGGCAATCTGCCTAGTTGTGGATGTTCATGTTAACGTGTTGATAAACAATGCTCAATTAGCCACATTTTGTCTATGAGTAAGAAAAAAAAACCCTCTAGAAAATAAAAATAAGAACTATAAGCATTGTTTCATATTCTCTTTTGAAAGCTTTATTCTCAAATTGTAGGTCAGCTTGTCAAAAGGCTTAATCATTCTAGACCACTTTTGTATCTGCAAACCCCCATTTGCAATCTTGTATTCTTTAATATGGTCAAATGTCCGTGCTTTCATATGCAGTATGTCCAGTCAGCTCAACTGCTGGCACATGCAGAAAGAAGTGTATATTAACCACACTTCACACACTCAGCAAAGAGTCTGGTTTTAAAAACAGAACATTAAAAATCCACTTTCAGAGCCTTCAATAGTTAATCATATCCTGTAACTGGATCCCTAGAAATCAAATTTCGAAAAGTGTCCCTTATGCTACAAAGCCTGCCACTTTCCAGAGGGTAATTAGAAAAGTTGCTGTACATACCTGGATCTTCCACTTAACTTGACTTTTACACTATCAATGCTCAGCTGGCAATTGTGTAGCAATGTGGACAAGTGGCCTGTGCTATCCCGTGACACTTTGAAGATAATGGAAATAAACAGTCCTGAGATGGACACAGTAATTTCTCCTTTGCCTTTGCTGCTTGGACAAAAAAAGTCAAACTCAGTCAATAAAACATCTGCTGTAAGGGAACAATTTAAGAAACCGCCTGTAAATCAAGTTTGAAAGAACTGCTTGCTTCTATTATCTAGAATGAAGAATGGGCTTTCTAGGGATTAAAGTAGATTAGGGACATGCCTGGTATTCAAACAGAGATTATATGCATAGGTTTCCAGGACATGAATTTTCCTGTTCTTCAGGATTTGTCAAGTTTATAAAATGTCACAATTTCACAGCAGCACAAGACACTCCAGTCCTTCATGATGGATTACCCTAAAGGTCTCTGGAACTGCAACAGCAGAAGCAAGTTAGCTAATAAATATATTATCCTAGTGTTATCAACTTTGTAATTGCTCCATTTTCCTCTTTCCTGTAACAATTTTCAGTAACTCTTTTAAATGTATAAATTTTTTTATCCTGCCCTAAAACCAATTCATTCTCCTTTCTGTAAAAATCCCTACTAAGACCCTCAACAAAAATATATTTCTACCTAAATTCCAACAAATTTAGCTATTAGGCCTATGGTTAGGAGTTGTAGAAGCTGTAGACCAGCCAAGCAGGATAGAAAGTGGAATGAATGTTAGAATAGCCTTATAAAAACCTCATTTACTGTAACAGAACTGACACTAAACACATAACTTTTCACCCTTTCATCTTGATTACTTGGGTTTTCTTTTCCCAGACATTTCATTTCTACAGTGGTGGCACTATACTGCAGAGAAAGAGCCGTGTCCAATAGGAAGCTCAAACCATGAGTCTCTCCTCTTTCCTCTTAATTTTTTTAGTCAAAGCAAAATATCTCTGGAAAAAGTTGTAATCCCAAAAGATAAATTTTTACCCGAACCACAGAGTGCTCCAGCCCAAACTAATATCTAGTATTGCCAGTCACAAAATCCATCCTACCACCACTGCCATTTTAAACCTCCTGTTTCAGGTCATATATGTTCATTAAGTGGCTATGTAGAAGAAGCACCACTCTTCAGATCCTCATTTTCCAGTCCCTAACCAAGGCACCATCCAAGAAGCCATTAGGAAAAACATTTTCCCAAGGAGGATTGTGAGTACTGGGACAAGTTTCTTGGAAAGATTGTTGTGTCATCATCCTTGGCTAAAAAACATCACTAGTGAGCTGACCTGATCTAGTCTGGTGACTGCTGTTTTGAGTAGGAGGCTGGGCAAAACTGCTTCTAGAGATCCTTTCAACCTAGATTTACTCATCCTTCAGTGACAGGGACCATTGCAAAAGGATCTCAGCCCTCCTCCCCTTTTGGGCTACATGGGAGGTGGGGACCAAACCAGCTACCTAGGTCTTTTGTTCCTGCATCCTTATATGTGCTCCTCTTCAGAAGGAATCCTGATTCCCTGAGGCAGGGTCACAGCTCTAGGCCTTCAGGAGCAATAGACCTGCCAAGAGGTTTTATGACTTGCAGAGAGCTCTGGGACATACTGGAGAGAAGGACTACAGTAAGAGCTGGAAATGAATCATACTATTACAATTAAAAAGCTGTGATATGACCCATCTTACTGATCCTGGAAGCAGCCCAGGAGTGGTAGTTTGTCAATGGTCTCACTTGGAAAGTTCATTTTCAGCTGGCCCCTCTTAGTCTGCTATTCTGAAAGCAACATGTAGGACTAGAAAATGGAGCAGATAAAGAGTAGGGCATATTCTAGATCTGTCTAAACCTACAGTCATTCACAAAATGTCACACTGAACGAAGCAGCAGAGATTAGTCCTTCAAAAAGGCAAGAAAACCCCTTCACCTGCTAAACTCCACCAAAGCCAGCTTTGACCACCTCCACCACGATGTGCTCTGTCAAATCATGCATAACAGCTCCCTGACTCCCTTGCTGTCTGTGAAGCCTTTGGTGTTTTATACATCTGGAGTGTCTTCAGATTACGCCCAGGTCCTTATCCTTCAGCAAGAGCGAGAGATGGCTTCAGTGTTTAGGAACAGCTGATTTGCCCTGCTTAACACAGTCTCCTTTTCCTCACAATAGTGGTATGCCAGAATTAAAAACAGAGAGGTTGGGGGCACAGTGACAGCAGTTTACAGCCACCAGTCTCACTGAGACTGAATGCAGAACTGCATGTCCATACTCCTCTGAAATCAGGACATGCTGTGAAACTTCGCAGCCTGGTGATCCATCTTGCTATGCTGTCTGGCTCACAATAGAGCAACACCTACTGCTGTTACCAATTGCTCTATGAACCCAAATCGTAGAGATTAGCACCTTGCAAACTTTCTGATATACCAGAAGTTTTAGCACTCCCACACTCTCAAGAAAAACAAGACTATTGTGTTAAAATTCTATGGGAAAAATGCTGAGATATGAAAAAGTGGAAAACTCAGTATGCAATCATGTCATTAAAGACAATCTCATACTACACAGGCTTATGAAGATAAGTCAGTTTTCCATAGTGACCTAAATTTTGGACTTTCTGAAGCTCTGAATGTTTGGCATTGTGACAGTCCCCTTCCTTTAATAGGAGCTCTTTGGAAGGCAATATACACTGTACCAGCACATGGATAAGTAGCTATAGAGTCAACCTTCCAGATACACTCTACAAAGAAAGTAACAAATGTTGGCCATTGCAAACTCTGTGGTCCTGACTATTCATGTAATATCATGTCTGCAAAAATTGAGCATGCTCACAGATCTGATCCTTTCCAAAGAGACAACCTGTGGGGTTGAATAATTAAAACAAACAAACGAACAAAAAAACCCCCAACATTAGTTGTCATGGGATATTTCCTTCTTAAGAAGTTTATTCAAATAGATTGTTCTTAGACTGCTGTTAAGTGACACAGCATGTCTGACCTGAAAAATAATTACCCTGTATATGTCCCAGAACGGCCCCTTCCCACCTGCAATTCCCTGTCCAATACTTACAGCAGCCATGCGTTCATTCTCCAGTCTGCACTGATTGTAGCAGAAGCCCGTGCCACCGACAGACAAATGCCAGTGCCAGGAATAAAAGAAGCAGAAGTTTCTGGGAAATCTACAGCATTAATTCTAAGCCTACAGAATACAGAAAGGGGGATTATTAGACTGCAGGCCAAAAGAGTAAGGACTCCTGATCACTGAAAACCCTTCCGCTATAAAAGGCAAAGTCTATGTTACAGTAAAAGAATTTCTCAGAAGTGACTGACCCTTGTATATTTTAGGAAAGAAAGACACTTGTACCATTATACTTCACAGCATTCTTGGAAAAAGAATCCTTGATACCTGACCAGGCATTCTGTTGTAGTTTTTTTCCCCCTCAAAATAAAAACCACTCCTTGGGAGAAAAAAAAACCTCCTTAAAGTACAATCCCCTTGCTGGGGAAAAAAAAAAAATCTATGTTTAATCCCACATGCCACATTTATAAATAAATCCAGGTTGTCTGAATGCTGCATTTGCTGAAGAGTATCAAAGTTTTTGTTTTCGCATTCTGCTTCCTTGCCTAAGCAAAGGGTTCTGGAGAGCATCCATTTTTCTAAACAAAATCTTACTTATTTCCCTCCCAAAACAAATGTTTCTGATAATCAAGGATATTGTCTTGCAAATGGGTGTGTTGAATTGAGCTGAACATTGCAAAGATATCAGCTGTAATCTTATCATGTATTATACATTCCTCATTGTTTCTTGATATCTGGCAGAGATCTCTGAAACAATTGTCTTTAATCTGCTTTCCCTGGGGCAGAAGGCACCAACTACCCTTACTTAAAATGACCATAATTTTCCAATAACATCTTGGGCAGTAATTCTGCATTTAGTTGTCTTGTTTGCAGTGAGCTAAAATCAGATTATCCATGGGATGACAGCCAATTTCAAGAACTGTGGTTGGGGGAATGAATTTAGGTTTTGAAGATCATATAATAATTTAGGTTGGGATGGGACCTCAGGAGATTTTTCTGGTTCAACCTCCTACTCAAAGCTGGGACAAATCAGGGCCTTGGCCCACTGGAGTCTTGAACAAGTTCAAGGATGCAGATTCCTCAGCCTTTTCAGCCTTTGTTCTGGTGCTCCCTAGCATTTTTTCCTAGCTTCTCTACTTTTCTTGATGTAGCATGTCTTTCTGCCCATCACCCTTTCACTGTGTGCCCCCAGGAGAAGCTGGGTATCCATATTCTCTACAATCAACACCCAGCAGACAGTGGAAGACATGCAGTAAGACACAGACACCTCCACCCCCACAGTCTCTTCTCCAGCCTTTCTGAACACAATCCTCTCAGACGTGCAGGGATTAAGGCACAAGGACAGCATAGCAAGGATGGTATAACAATTGCCAGAGAGCAGGATATTAGGAAAGGGATGCAGGACCTATCCAGCAGAAAGTACATGAAGTTTCTCAGAGTGGTATTTCTCCCTCTGGGTAACTTGCAAAGAAGTAAAATGCTACTGAACAGCACCTGGAAGGTGGGATTGAAGGCTGTAGAAAAACCTGCTTTCATATTAGTCTCCATATTTGGAGAACTTGTAGGAAACTCTATAAAACTGTTTATTTACTGGCTGCTTCTGGTACAAAGAGTTTCCTTTGCAGTTAGTAGGTGTTGAGCACTATCCCGTCAAAATGGTGATTTACCATTGTAAATTCATCCAAAAAGATTCAGCAGAATCACAGAATAGGTCAGGTTGGAAGGAACCACAGTGGGTCATCTGGTCCAACCTCCCTGCTCAAGCAGGGTCATCCTAAGAGCACATTGCATAGGATTGCATTCAGACAGTTCTGGAACATCGCCAGCGTGGGAGACTCCACAACTTCTCTGGGCAATCTGTTCCAGTGCGTGGTCACCTGCCACATAAGCCCAGATACACCAAAAGCTCGTTTCTGAGTGTAGTAGAGCAAGTACTTGTTAAAACAAGTCAGTGTTCGGGCAGTGGAAGCAGAGTTAGATAAACCATTAGAATTTTATGCTGAACAAAACAGTGGCTACATAATTATTACTATGTGGTAATAATAAGCTGCTTCATCCTAAAACTTTGAAAATTATTTCCTTTACTTACCTGGAAATGACATAGTTGATCTTAACAACTGACAGACTCTCCTGCCCACTCCAGCTTGGGAAGGTCTCTTTCAATACTGCTTGCTTCACAAGCTCCATCCCAATCCTCCTCCCTACAGGGGGACATAGGAAAACATATGCCTTGCAGATTGGATTCTGGCACCCAAAGGTCCAGATATACTGCCAAATAATTTAATCATCACTTTTAACACAGTTCTTGAAACACTTTGATTCTATGATCCTTTCCTAGGTCTCCTTCCAACAACATATATATATGCATTTACAAATTCTCTTAGCCTCACATACAAACCATTCAACCCAAGATCAAAAATATCTATTAGGATCATCTTGTCCCTGAGTTGTATTTCACCTTCTAGAACTCCTGTCAGATTTCTGAAACTGTTATATTTCCTTCACTTCACTCACAATGTGGATAGCCTTGGAAAATTCTTGGTCATCACCTTTACCTCAGATTGTCTCATACCTGTTGGATGAAAAAGCCAGTTATAAAGTAGCAAGGTTACTTCTATATGTAGTGTTTACTTACGGAAAAAGTGTGATATATGCATTTGAAATGCTGGTATGTCAAATGCAGAACTATCTGGTTTGTTGCTTGTGTACAGGAAGTTGTTTGAGGTTGAAAGACAATAATTTAAAATGTTTTTTTCCCATTTCTTTCACAGTACATATATTTTGCCACTGCACCTTAATCAAAGCCTGTAACAGGTCTCTGACTTATTTCCTTACCTTCTTCCCTTGCTTTAAGGAATCCATACTTTCTAAAATGTTTCAATGCTACTTGTGCAATGATAAGATGCACAGACCCTATTATGACCAAACAGAGCAACTTTAAATTCCAGATTCCTTGTGTCTTCCTTTTTTTTTTTTTGCTCATCTTTGATTAAGACAAAACTGAAATTTTAATACTGAATGATATCCTACTTTCAGATGTTTTTACCGTGAATTTGCTGACTAGAAAATATCTGGATTTTTTCTCCACTAGGCTCCATAGTATTAAAAAAGCAAAGAACTGAAATTTGTGATAACATGACACTGGAATACCTTTTCATAAAATGCATCTTTTATGAAGGAAAAGTAAGTTATGATTCCCTAGGAATTCCTGTCTCCAAAGCAAAATATGGGCTCTCACTGAAATAACTTAAAGCTCTCTTAGAACTGTCAGTGAAGTCAGCCAGTGATCCCAGGTGGAATTCCTCTCAAGGTTCTTGCAGCAGGCAAGAAGCACGCAGGCAGGATCTATGGCCTCAGCCCTCAAATCTCGCATTAAGGGAGAGGACAGGTCAGGCACCAAGCTCTTCAAATATGAGAAATACCTCTGGGAGGAGCTCTGCTAATGTCTGTTCTTACTATTAACGCAGGGGTGTGCCAACTTAGTCTGTTCATGCAGCGCTTGGAAGGTCATGTTAATCCTCACAAAAACTGCTGGGCTCACACTGAGAAATACCAGGTTGAATTCTCATTTCTAAAGGCATGAGAGATCCCCAGGAAGCAAGGGAGGTCAGTACTGGTTTGGGTGACTGATGTTTGCCCTGCACTTTTCAACTTCTCAAAAGCCTTTAAAACAATGTTCACACAATAAAATAAGTGGACCTGATCCTTGCTTTCATCTTGAAGATATAAACCCCGAGCTTCTACTTTTCATCTCACAAGTCCATTGTTTACCTGTCAGCATGTTCAGTACATAAATGATGATTAATCCTTAGCATGACCCAGCCTTTGTTGAATTTGCACCTTGTTAACCTTTATTATTAATATTAATTCTGTAAACAATTGAAATTATACCACATGCTCTCCACACCCATGGAGTAAGTCTTAGGTAAGAGACAGTGAAAGTTAGCGTGAATAGAAAGACAAAGGAAAATATATTGTGGAAATTGCCAATATTCTGCTTCAGGGACAGAATTACGGCAGTCACTAGATTTTTTTTGAAGAATGGCACATGCAGGTGCTATGCCATGCCAAATGGAGGAATGAGAGTAAAGGTGGCCATGTGGCTGTCCCAAGATTTTTGTCCAATTGTAAGCTTTTTGTCCCAATTGTGTCTTAATATCTTCAATTAAATATTGCACTTTTAGTCAGGGTTTTGACATTTTTTAAAAAAAGGAGCAATTATATGACTGTGTAATTATGGTTCTTAAAAAGTATATCAATATGAAGAATGTAGTAGAAAGACAGTTGGACTGTAGGAGAATGCAGTCACTAATAAAAGATAAATTCACACCTGGGATACACACACACAAAAAAGGAAATAAGTGAGAGAAGAGACAAAGAGTATTCCTGGTGTGAGGTGACAAAAGGAATTTACTTCAATATTAAGGAGCTTGTTCCTACACTGAATCTTTATTAAGAAACTATATTCTGTATATAGAGTATTTATGATAAATTTACTTCTGGCAATGTTAGACATACCATAGTCCAGCCCCTTCTGAGTAATCCTCACTTTAAGACCAGGATTAGCCTCAAGCCGCAAGGACAGCCAACAGAGCAGGAAAAAATACCATGTCTTTGGCATCTTCTCACCCTTTTGTCACAGGGATCTGTTAACAACATTTATGATACAAATATTTTCATAAATGATGCATACCATGAATTGCAAAAAATCTATATCCATGACTTCCCTCAATGAAATTGGGACAAGGGTGGATAGCAAGTGAGGTTTAGCCTATGATCTTATTGTACGGAGCAGTTAGTGTGGGAGCAGGCACAGATTTCTGAGTCCTTGGATATCGCTTTGGCAGGTATTAGCTTGTTGGTGAGACTGAATGGTTCCGCTCCAGTACTCTATCCTTTCCCCACACCATTGTCTTGGTTGTTTAATGTCTGTTCTCCTGCAGAATGAACATCACACAGGAATAGAGGAAGGTGTCCTAGCATGAGCCTGCAGCAGTGCAAAGCGAGACTGTGAGCCACTGAGTGCTGGGATGTAACCACACAATGCAGATTCACAAAAGCTGAGACAAATTGTATCTTTCTGTGACACTTTCCAGTACAAAAGTACAGTTTCTTTGTCAAAATTCTTGCATTCATCCCGGTATTCCTACCAATGACAGCCACTGCTCAATATCCTAGAGATAACAATACTGTTTCTCAAGACAACGTCAAGTCTTCTCAGTGCTGCATTACAAAAGTGTTTATTAGGGACCTACAGTAACACTACTCTGGCCTTACCACGGAGGGGAGTGGCACATCCTTTTCTGGATGTGCATGTGTCATTGAGATCATGGTACGTGCCTATGTACAAAACCATACTAATTCTTAAGTAGCAAAAGGTCTTGCTAGTTTCCCAGGTAATGCAGCCTATAGAGTCATTCCTGGATTTCTAATAAGCATTATGTTGTCTTGGAAAATCTATTCCATAATCTGCCAGAACACATGTAAATTAAATTAAATCAAACACAAACCCTACCCTCCCCCAAAAAAACCCCAGACCATACCACCCTTTGGTAGTCTTACTTCTTGGTGTGGTAATTAATATTATCAGGTCAGACCCTAAATGGTTGAAAATCTATGTTCTGCTCAGTTACTCATTTAAAACTGCTCTTTGGTGGTTTCTGCACTGTAAGATTGACAAAATGTATTTTCAATATTGCCCTGATATGGGTTCTCTGAGGAATCCTTACAAAGTTATCCCAAGATAAAGTGTTTTCAGGGAAAAAACATTCTGAAAACATAATCCACACTGGGACAAATTTTGAAAATGATGCCTTTAATTGGTCATTCCACCTCTAGGTCTTATGCCTTTTTGGTTTTGTCTATTTTAAGCAACTCAAAATAAGCACTTTAAGGTAGCAATATAATATCATGTACAACAGCCTGCTGAAGTCACAAAACTTAAACTCTTTCCAAAAACTGTCATAGCTTTTCCTGCAAACATGCCACCTTCAGTCCTGATTAAATAGGATCAATTAAAAATCAGTGTAAAACCAGAAAGACGGATTTTTCTATCATTAAAGTACATAGGTATTTCCTAGATATTTATCCAGCAGGATTGCTAGAAGTGTTGATGCAGATGAGATACATCATTCCCATTGCATTTCATTCACATTGAGGAATAGAAAATAGCAATCTTGGTCACTACTGTGCTTTGTACTTGTACTTTGATATGTTCTTGTTTGGATCTTAAATGGATGTTGAGTGAGAAGCTGAAAGAACAAACAACAGAACTGCCATGGGAATAAAAGGCAGTATCATTTCATATTGCTTACTCACACCAACAAGCTTTATTTTTGCACTCCAAGGCTGATATTCTTGGCTTCATCCAAGCCACGAGTCTCTCTCTGATGCCAGGATCGATTGTACACGGTCAGTCAGATGACTGAGCTGAGAAGAAGGAACTTGTCAGCTGCCTGATAGACTAAATGAGAGCTGCCAATTGCATTGCCAAGGACAATAGATGTCAGACAAATTGCCCTGACTTTTATCTTCTGTAACTGAGCAGGCATGGACCAATTTCTGTATGTAAATAATTATCTTAATTCTTTTGTTTTCTCAGAGATAGCGTATTCAAGTACTTGAAGCAGAGAAAACAGATGAAGTCCTTTGTTTCAGTCTGTGTACCTGTCTCACCCTAATGAAGTACTCTGCCTACCCATCTGTAGATACATCTGGTTACTCCTTTGTGAACAGTCTATACAAGCTTTAAATAAAACTTGCAATAAAGATTACAGCTGAAATCCACCTAGGAACTTAAGCAAGCTCCTGAAGTAAAAAAAAAAAAACCACAAAAAACCAAAACAGAAACCTCAAAACCACACACAAAAAAAATCCCACTATAGTTGTCTTGTAGAGGTTTAACACAGCCATAAAAACACACTATCTTAAACTGACCATCCTCTGAAATACAATAGAGTATCTTTAAAACAGAATTTTGTTCTTATCTTGCCTTGGTTCTGCACAAAACACTCCATTCTGCATCCCACAGAAGAATTTTTTTCCCTTTGAAAAATTTGGTAACCCCGGTAGTTAACAAACCCAAGACAAACAATAGCAAATATAGTGTCTACCCAACCTGAAGTCCAGAAAGAGCACTTTAGTTTCCAAAATATCTCTGCTGTTATCACAGAACTGGGACTCGATTTTTCAGTTTCTCCCTTGTTCCATTGTCTCTAGTTACTCTGCAGCATGTTCAAGAACAGGTAGGGTTTCTGCAGCTCACTCAACAATGTCAAAGCAAGAAGGACTCAATAGCCTCAGGATTTTAACCCTTCCCACACACTGATATTCCATATGGAAAATTACCTCTTGAAGGAAAAGGAATACAAAGTTAATATAGTTGATAGGAGAGATATATTGGAAGGAATGCTTAAAGAAAACAGCATTGACACAGACAGGAGTTTGCTAAATGACATAAAAGCAGATGATCTCTCTCCACAGCAACTGGAAATACCCCTAGAATGAGAAAAACTCCAGTAAGTTCCTGTTCATGGTAATCTCCATTCAGTGTGGAAAGCAATGCTATCCACTGCCCAGCTCATGAGACAGCCCATGATGTAGCTCTATGAAATCTTCCAACAGAATCCACAGGAGGCAACAGCCCCCCCTGCCCCCACAGGTTGTATCTGTGAGTTTGTCTGGGACACCCCCTGATTTTTCAGAGGCTTTGCAAAACCTTTGTGTTACCACAGCTTTTCCTGAGCATGGCTTGACTACTGATGCCCTCCATAAAGGCTTTCAAAACCTTGGAGCAGGATTGCCAGAGAACTATTAATCTGTGTCAGGCTGCAAAATAAATAGCATAGCTGCAATGCCTACACAGATTCCATTAACAATGGATAACAATGTTGGGAGGCAGTTGTGTGATGAGCTGATGGAAAAAAACATAGCCACTGTTTGGATCCATTGAGTTAATTTTGCTGACCTCTGTAACTGCCCTATCCTTGCACCTGAGCCAGGACTACAAGGTTCATTTTTACCAAAATCCATTTAGTGGAACAAAAATCAATGTCCTTGTTCTAGCGCTGCCCTCACAGCTAAGAACTCTAAGGGTGCACTTAAGCTGGTTCCCTAGAGACAGTAGAAGAGTAGGATGAATTGAGACCTTGAGCAGAAAATCAGCAGGCATTATTTATCTGGAATCTGAATTGACCAGATTCAGACCTGAGACCATCATTTGCATAGTTCTGTTCTAAACTTCCTTCTCTCCCAGTCATTTGGCTCACTCTTAGATTCTTGTCCAACCATTCTGTTACTTTCATGGAGCTGACAATAGCATGAGGAGCTCTCTCAGCCTTGGCAGCCACCACCCTGGTTTCACACAAATTGCAGTCCTGTAAGATTCCTAGAAGGCGGATGCAGTAACCTCCCTAGGAAAAACCTGAGCTGCTTTTTACTACCCAGAGAATTGTGATTTTGGTCTGCTAATGCAGAGATATCAAACTCTGATCTTGGAGTGCACACAACTCCCAGCAATTCAATGCTGTAAATATGTAAATCTAAGAAAATGCAGTTGTAGCTAAAAAGATCTGAAGCAATCTGGCAAACTCCAGAAAACCCACTGAAAGGTCCTTTGCTCCCTGTGATCAAGATTTTAATCAAAAACAGAGCAGTTAAGAGTTACATGAGCAAACTCCAGACACTGCTTAAGGGTCATCTGTATTCAACCAAGCTGAGATGGTATAAAGCAGAGTTCCTCTAAATGTATTGGCTATAGAGTATCGACACAAGGGGCTTTAAAATACCTTTTAGGAGCAAAGCTGACCACTAGCAAGCTGCAAGAAGTTAGGAGGTTCTCTCCACTAGCTTTGATTTGAACCTCCTCCTCCACTGGTACCCTTAAAATGCCGCTTCAGACTTTCACAGATCTCCTGATGATGTTCCAGCCTTCATACCACCCTCTTTCACAGGTTTAACATATATACACATACATATTTGCTTATATATATTATAAAATACATTCTTTGTAGGGGCAAATACATAAAGAAAAATAATGGAAAAAGTCCACAGCTTTATTACCACACTCATCATTCAGAAAAAAAAAAAATCCATGATGTATGTAACTGAACTAGAGAGACCTTTACTCTTTACAGTTCTCCTCTGCCACAGTTCTATGTCAACAAGACTACAGCTTTAAGTTTCAGTGTTCTCAAGACAACCCACTAGGGCTATCAGTAGGATTTTACTGCTTTGGTGGAACTGGTTCTATTGCTTGTGTTTCACACTGACCATGTAGGGAAGAAAAATCCTCAATAAAGTACTTTGAGTAGAGAAAACACATTGTTTTTAACAACCATTCTAAGCTACTGACGAAGAGCTTTCTTTTGTCACCATATCGTGTATTATCTTAAGGAATTACTTAAAAATCATTCACAAATTCTGATAAGAGCGAACTATGCTGAAAGTCAAAATTCTTCTTTACATAACCATTTTTTCAAGGTTTTAAGTACACAGGTTTCCTGCACTGTTTTGCATGTGCCCTTCCCAGCCTGAGGTCAACTTCATACGTGGCCATTGAAAGTCTTCTGTCTGTTGACGGAGACAAAATTAAAATGGTGGAGAAAAACCTGTAACTCATCAAATAATAGCCCTTTCTTCTAGAATGATGTGTGAGGGAAAACAATAATGGTGGTGATGAGTCATTTGAAATTTTCCAGACTTCAAAGCTGAGGAAAATGTTTTAGCCTTTCATCCTAATTGTCTCCTAGGTTTTCCTGTTTAATAGTGCTGCATGCAAAACATGTCTAAACCTTACATTATGGCATGACTCACAAAATTCAAAGGAAAAATTCACAGAATGGCAGCTGAAATGCTCACTTGTAACTCCTGTAGCTGGTTACCTAACAATGACTATAGCCAGCCACTGAGAAACGGAACCATTTTATGCCACACAATCACTTGAGCTTGTGCAAGTTACTGAAATGGTAGTTCTGCTGGCAGCATCACAACTGTAGCCAGGGACATTTCCAAAAGAGGGGAAGCCTCCTCCACCCTTCCAAAAGAGCACAGACTAAAATGCCCTGGAGCCAGTGGGATAACAGGAGGTGGCTGGGACAGGGATAACTCTGAAGAATGAAACACAGCAAAACATTTCTGGCCAATGGAAAGTGGTTGAGGCAGGAGCATGACTCACTTTGGATTCAACCCTCTTCAAGAGAGAGCAAAGCAGCGTTTCTGACAAACACAATCCTTTCTACTCTTCTTGACAATTCCATTCTCATCCCCCTCTGCTCCATCAACCCACTCTTCTGGATTCATCCAGGATGTGACCCTATTTGATGACAACTGATGAAGCACTCCTCCAAAAAGGGGGGTGGCAAAGGGCGCAGGTTCTCAGGAAATTACTTGTTTTAATGTTTGGCATTGAGGGCCTGATAAGTTACACCTAGCTGATTTCAATGAGCATCAGTTCTTCCATTGCTCAATGAGTGGTGTTCCACCTCAGTAGACTCCTTGCCTTGCCTTGCCTTTCATCACCTTTCCACTGAGGAATTTATTGACATGTCGAAAAAAGATGATGGCTGCCCTTCAGAATCATCGAATCATAGAATCAGCTGGGTTGGAAAGGACCTCTGAGATCATCAAGTCCAACCCTTGAGCCACTACCACTGCAGTTACTAGACTATGGCACTAAGTGCCACATCCAGTCTCTTCTTAAATACCTCCAGGGATGGAGAATCCACCACTTCCCTGGGCAGCCCATTCCAATGCCGTTCTTCAGTTTGAGATGTATCTGACAGTGAACTCTAAAATGAAAATTTAGTAACCAATTTTCCTGGGTTGGATGATCATGTTCAGATGGTATAAAGGAGATTTCACCTGTAGCCCAAAAGAGAATTTTTGAAGTTTCAGTGTCCTTTTTCTCACTGGCTAAGTGCTGAAAGGACACAGGTAGGGTTAAGCAATGTGAACAAGGCCCTAATAAGCAGTTGTATTTTGTGATAGTTGTGCAACCTAGGTCTTTGGGTTTCTCTTATTATTTTAGTACAGTACTTCTAGAAAGTATCCCAGATTTCCTGCACCTCACATTTCTTGTATTATTCTTTGTGTGGAGAAATGTAAGTAAATGTTATCATTAGAAAGAAAGCCAAGATGATCTCAGAATATGCAAATTATTTTCCAAGTTACCTCTGAATTCGCTGCTTTTTGAAATTCAGCGTAATTCATTAAAGTGAAAACTTAAATTGTGCCTTTTACATTATTCCCTCAATCGACACAACACTTAGCAGTACTAAGTACTAGTACTACCACTACCACTGTAGTAAGCAGAGTGTTTATTTCCAGATAGAGCTGAGAGTACTTTTCATAGAGACCGAAGATGTAGGTAGGGGCTTTTTCCCCCATTTTGACAGGTGACCTAAAGCCAGTAAACTTTCTGTTTGTACCACTTAATACCTCTGGTGAGATTTTGTGACCAAAGCTGTTCTAATACCCCTTCTGAGATAACAGTTCAGTAGTCTGGTCTAGAAAAGTCAGGTTCCCTTAAAAAACTAAACACTCTCGGGGGGCAGCATCCTCCTTCAGCCCTTCCCCTTGTGCATTTCCACGAGCCTCGTCAACGGCTTGACACGCAGCCAGTGCAAGGTTTTCACTGGCATTTTTGGCTTCAGAACAATTTAGAAAGGATATTGAGGTACTGGAGCACGTCCAAAGGGCAACGAGGTTGGTGATGGGACTGGATGACAAGTCCCATGAGGAGGAGTTGCGGGAGTTGGGGCTGTTTAGCCTGTAGAGGAGGAGGCTCAGGGGAGACCTCGTCACTCTCTACAACTACCTGAGGGGAGATTGTTGCCAGGTGGGGGTCGGTCTCTTCTCCCAGGCAATTAGCAGTAGAACAAGAGGGCATGGTCTTAAGCTGTGCCAGGGGAGGTTTAGGTCGGATATTAGGAAGAAGTTCTACACAGAAAGAGTGATTGGACATTGGAGTGGGCTGCCTAGGGAGGTGGTGGAGTCACTGTCCATGGAGGTGTTTAAAAAAGAGACTGGACATGGCACTTAATACCATGGTCTAGTACACAAGGTGGTGTTCGGTCACAGGTTGGACTCGATGATCTCAGAGATTTCCAACCTAGTTGATTCTGTAACACCACCTGACCCGCTGTTACACCGAGGAGGACGAGAGCAGCAAGGGCGCAGGAATCACTCCCGCCCGAGGCTCACCCCCTCGCAGGGCAAGGGCGGAGCGGACGGAGCGGCAGCGATGGCGACTCCGCCCACACCGCCTGAGGGGGCGCGCGAGCGGCCGAACGCCCAACCGTCGATCGCGGCCGGGCGGGGCCGCCGGCGCTGCGCAGGTCAGAGCGCGGCACGCCGAGGCAGCGATCGGGGGCGGGGCCGGGGCCGGGCTGAGGCGGCGCCGCGACAACCAAAACAACGGCGCGGCCCGGCCCGGCAGCCCTTGCGCCAGCGCCCCGTCGGTACCACTGCCGCCGCTGCCGTCGCTCGGCGGGGCCCGCTCGGGGCGCGAGGGGGGAACGGAGGTTCCCCCCCCATCTCCCGGTGGTGCGGCGGCCGCGATGAAGCTCCGCGTGCGGCTACAGAAGAGAACGGCGGCCTTGGAGCTGCCGGGGGCGGGGCCAACGCTGGGGGAGCTGCGCGCGCAGCTGCGCGCGGCCCTGCTGCCCGCCTGGGGGTACAGGTACCGTGCGGACCAAACCATTGGGGGGCCGGGGGGGGGGCAGCGGGGCCGTACCACGCGGGGCTGGGGGGGTGTCTGCCCCTAACGCCCCCCCGGGCGCAGTACTGCCCTCTGCCGGGCTGGCGCGGCCGTGCCGGGGAGCGCGTCCCGGGGGATTAAAGCCTTCCCGGTCTGAGGGATTAAAGCCTTCCCGGTCTGAGGGATTAAAGCCTTCCCAGTCTGAGGGCTTTTCCCCGCGCACGGGGGCGGGCCGCCCCGGCTCCGGCAGCGCCCGGGACGCGTGCTGCTTCCCGGCGGGTCGCTGCGGAACGGGAGAGCAAAACTTCGGGCGTGCTCGGCTGCGAAGTGCGGATCCGCAGCTCAGTCAGAGCTGACTCGGGTTCGTGCGTGGCCCTTATGTTATACAGTGGGTGCAGGGTGTCTTCTGTAGGAAAGTGAAGTCTGCAGAACCAATTTAAGAATCGCCTACAAAAGGGTTTTTTCCCTGCGGTGGCTGAAGGGTTTGTACCATAAACCTCTAATTAGGTCCGATGTACTGGTGTTTCACTGGTGATTCACGTGTGCCGTGGGCAGGAGGAATCTGAAGTTGCTGCTTGTCTTGCTACAGTGTGTGTGTGTTTTGTAGCTGAAGCTGGGTGGCCGCTTCCCTGCTAACCAGTTTCATTTCTATTTTTTTTTTTTCATACGTGTGTGCCCTGAAGCATCTTTTCTTATTACCCTCATTTGTGACTACCATCTTGTAGTTCAGCTGCTGATCTTTGAAAGTAATGTTTTGCTTCATGAGGAAGCAAGATGGTGGAGTCTTCAATGCTATTTATTTTTAAATAATCTCAGCCACTAGTTTATTTAAATCTTGTTTTGCTGGGTGTAATATCTTCGAATTTGAAGGGCACTTGTTTGCTTTTGTTTGTAACTTTTTTATGAGAAATTTCTGTAAATGAAGTTTTATCTACCAAGCAGCTTCGGCTACTAGAAATGTACCTGGAAAGAAACATGGGGGAAATAATTTCATACTTTTTTTTCGCCCTCACTCTTTCTCTAATATATAGCTCATTATTAATGGATTAAACCCCATGGCATGGTACTATTGTAATACGGAGTATGCTTTTCTAGCTATAGAGTCATGGGATCGTTAAGGCTGGAAAAGACCTCCAGGAGCACCAAGTCCAACCTTTGTCTGATCACCACCATGTCAACTGAACCATAGCACTAAGTGGCCCATCCAGTCACATACCTCTGTGTGCAGTTACCCAGGTGCAGCCAATTGTGTTTCCTTACTCTTTTAAAAAAATTATTTATTTTTCAGTTCTGATACCAAGTTTGCAATAACACTGAACAGAAAAGATGCTCTCACAGAGGATCAGAAGACCTTAGCTTCGTACGGGATTGTTTCTGGTGATTTGATATGCTTGCTACTAGAAGAAGCAGATGGACAACCCAGCCTACCTCCTCCTCCTTCAACTCCTCTTCCTCCCCCACTTCAGAATGGTCGTGAGCCATCCACCTTGACCCCCAACAACAGCGAGGCAAACAGTCCAAAAGAAGAAGGGCAGAATGAGCAATCTGACAACGAGAAAGCTCAGCTGGAAGTTCAAAAGAGTGATGAGAGGGTAAGTAGGTGAGAATTGTCCTGTACAGCACAAAGCAAAAAAGAAGGTATGTTGTTGTGTCAGTTGCTGTACTCTGTAGGAGAGAGTCTCTTCAGAATATTTGGCACTTAATACCTGTTTGATGTATATCCAGTTATTTGAATGGAAATTTATCTCTCCTCATTGTATATTACCTGTGGCACAGAAGCTAATTCAGAGGTCCTAAAGTGTTTCAGGTCTGACGTTTTTACAGGAGTGAATGTTTTTGCTGGAACATGCACTTTTCCTAAGGAAATTAAGATTATGTTTCTTGCCTGCCTCAGTGGTGTCTTCTTGAGGAAACTGATTCTAGGTGTTGAGCAGATGCAACAGGCACTGCCTGTTGGAATCAGGCTCTTTTTTTTTCCATTTTCGTGACCCTTGCCTTTCTACCTTTTTATTTTTGTAATGTGTCTGTGTAGTTTTGTCAGTTAATAACATGGTGTAATTTTTGTAGAAGAAAGGAGGCTACAATAAAGCCACACTTCTCTTCAAGTGACAGCAGATGCACTTCGTGGATTTTTTTTTTCCTGCTATTTAGGCCTGTTGTGTTTGTTGGCAGTCCCAGTTACCATTTTGGTTACTTGCCATGCCTGTTGGCTAAGTTCAAATTAACGGTGATACTACAGTGATTAAATTATTCTTGTGCATGTTACAAAATTCAAATTCTGAAGGTTTAATATAGTATTATCATGTTGTCTTCGATTTGTGTATGAAATAAAATGACAGACCCTTTAATGAAGGGCTGGTATTCTAAAGATTCAGAAAATACAGAGGCTATCTATATAATCCCAGTCTCCATCTGGAACACTGAAAGATGGAGGTGTAATGAATCTTGTACGTACAACTTGTACGGGAAATCATGGGAAATGGAATAAGCAAAATGTTGATGTAAAATGTTGATGTATATAGAGGTGTAATTTTCTGAACAAAGTTATGTTTTGCTTTCTCCTGAAGGCAGGATCCAGCGTAGAATTTCCTTCTGGATTAGTCCCAGAAGATGTTGACCTGGAAGAAGGTACAGGCTCCTATCCCTCGGAACCCATGCTGTGCAGTGAAGCCGCTGATGGTGAAATACCCCACTCCTTGGAGATGCTCTACCTTTCTGCTGAGTGCACCAGTGCCACTGATGCCTTGATAGTTCTGGTTCATCTGCTCATGATGGAGACAGGCTATGTACCTCAGGTAGGTAGGTGCATAAGCAAACAGAAATTTCTTGTTCAGTGTGAGAAAGCTTTGGAATATCATGGGAGTGTGTAA